AAACGTGAAGACCAGCTTCTACCTTGTTACATTCGATTTTGGCAAGAGTGATGTCTTCGGAAAAGCTAAAAATGCCGTTCCGAAACCTTCGCACATAAAATAGTTAAGAATAGTTGCATTGCGCCGAAGCTTGTAAACTGAACGGGGAGACCATTAGTTGAAAGCGATGTGTATTCTCTGGGTTATCTAATCAACGCAGTTTCTGGACTTAAAAGTTCAAAACCATGACCTGTACAAAGAAGGGTTTGTCGGAGTTAGCCTTATATAGGCCTAAGTCTTCGATCATAGAGGTGAACTGACCAACTTTACTACGCGGTGCTGCCTTTAAGGCTATTTTTGAGTTTCTTCTTTTTACGGGTTTTAAATTGTTCCTGTTATGTCTCTGTAACATTTGGTTAGGACTATTTGTGGACCTTGTGTTAACGATTTTCTGATGTCTTTTATAAGACATGCATTGTTTCTGGAAAATGGGCGAACAAAGTAGAGTTGTATCTGGAAAATGATTAGAAATGTAATTATCGGAAGTTGCGGTTTTTTCCATTTCATTCGAGGGGAACTTTATGAACTTTTTGTAGCGATCGGATGTCCTGAAATGTTCAGCAAACACCTCATGCCACCAAGAGTCGTCAAACCTTGGCTTGAATTACTTATGCAAATTAGCTGGCTGCACATTGAATGTGCAGCCAGCTAATTTGTATTAAAATTTTTTCCGACGCAAAGCTCGTCATGTTGTGCATTAACTCATATATCGTAAACATTAGACGTATTTGACATAGAGCAAAAGACAGGGAAAGGAAAATGACAATTAGAAGACTTAACGTCTTTCAATTTCAACAAAGTCTCTCAATAATAGATCATTCCTCATAATTTCGTGAAGTACACTCCATTTAATGTTAATTTTCAATCGTTCCCGGCGCTCCGCCTCTAAACAATCCAAGATGATCACTCAGAACACTTGTAAGACGCCGGTTAGAAATGTCAGTAATTTTACGCGACAGCAGCACTAAACATAGGCAAGCTATGCACGCGAGAGTTTTTTTGGGGGGTGGATGGATTACTTGAAACATTGTAAGTGATGTCTACATTCTTACCAAAGGAAAGAAGAGTATTAACGCGGAAAGGAATGAAAATGTCGAATTAACTCACACACCGGTATTATGTGGTAGATTGTGTGTGTTGTGCGAATAACTGTAACCAAAAATAAACTCTATTGGTACCGCAGATACCTGTTAGTACAAAAGGAAAAATGCAGACTGCAAACTGCAGATCGGATACAGAATGTAGACTAGGTACAAAATGTAGACTGCAGACTGCAGAGTGGGTACAAAAGGCAGACTGAGAATCTTAAGTGTTTTTTCGTCTGGTATGTGATAACATGTCCTCTTACAACTTACCGAGCGTCACGCAATCGCTTTTCCGCGATTAGCTTTCACGATTATTTGCACTATTGTGGAATAGTCCTGGCCCATTTCTTGATGAAAATCGATCGTAATGTAATTTCAAGCCTTCATATAGTCTTCTCATTTTGCGTGTGAGTTGGCTGGTCTGATGTCTGCACAGATTTTACCAACGTAATAAAAGTAGCTGTAGATGTAAATGAGATGTCACTATTGATTATTTAACACGCGTAACATTCGAAAAACAATTAACAACTTTGCACGTGGTCCGCATTATCATCATTGTAAGCGGTATGCGTTTATTTTGTTGACTAAATTGCGGACCGTGACCAAAACTGTTCACTCTACTCAATATATTTTCGACGTTAGTAGATCAAATAATATTAACCTACCTCCGTAAATCATTCATCCTAGATAGCAAAATCAAATAAAAATGCTAATGATGGTATCTGAATTCGTCCTTGGCCAAACACAAACGACTCCACAAGATCACTTTCTCCAGGCATCGAAAACATACACATAATCATTCACAGTTAATTTTAATCAGACATTCATCTAGAGATAGCACCGAGCAAACCAATCTAGAAAAATATAATCGGCACACTCAACGAATCATGAATCTTGCAGCACAGCTTGCCGTTAAAGAACTGCTCAAATCAAAATGTTTGGTGCAATTCATCAACACCTCTAGAAATATTTAATTCGAAATTTTTCCACTCACTCTCGTCGTGAAGGAACAATAACCATGATCGTGCTACAGTGCATAGAACTCCATTTTCTCTCGAACAACTGTCCACCATTTTCACAGCATGAGTAACACGTTTACTATGGGTAATCTGATATCTTTCATCTGTCCAGTAGTATCACATTTCTCATAAAGCGCGGTAAAATACATGTTGAAAACACAGAAAAGCCAACATTTCTCATTCTAAAAGATGATTGCACTTTACTAACCGCTCTCACCGAATTCCCCATTACTTTGGCGAAATTTGAACACCTCTTAAACCAAAGAGCAAAACGACGCTCTGATTGGTGCGAGATACATACCCTAATGCGGCGATCTGATTGATGCGAGATACATACCCTAAACGATCCAATTGGTGCGAGCAACATACCATTCTCTGTACACTAACATATATAACTCAAAAACGCATTAATCTACCGTAATTTGGTAAGGCAGCGCCAGACTCTCTCATAAAGAGAACGCGAGGTGCAAAAGCAAACTTGAACCTTTTTCGGTTTATTTTGACGGTATTAACCTTGGACGAAACCTCGCTTGCAAACATTAAATCAACCTCGAAGATCGGAATAAGAGAATGGCTGAGTATAAAATTGGATTTCATTGCAAATCCAAAGTGGTATGTTTTTTCCAAGAGCTGTCTTGCCCTCAATAACACGCGATTCTCAAACCTGCTAATATTGCTGAATCTCAGCATCAATTCAGGAAAATGAATTTTCTCATAAAAAACCAAACATTTCTCTAACACTTGCCAATCGTTGTCTATCGTCTAGCATTGACAAACATCAGCATTTTTTCACGCCTTCTTTTGTACAAAGACACTCACAAGGATTTCATTTTGACCACAGTTTCACTTTGGTTTTATTTGATTTTCAGTTTGTGGCAAGCCCAAACTGTCAGTTTGTTCTTGACGAAGTCATCTACAAACAAAGTCCTGGTTGGCGAAATAGGGGAATCGGGATTAAAGTAGCCTGGTGCTTGCTCCAACTTTTACTCGTCAGCCTTACGATCCCTTTATACATTTCACTTAAGTTAATTCGCAAGAATTTCCCGTGCTGTGGATTTGATTTCCACTGGCTGAGAAAGCTGTATGAGGATCCTTATTCGAAGTTCCTTAACCACACCATGTCATACATGATATTTCTGGCTTTCATCTTTGTGTCATCTTTTGAGTACACGTATGGGCCTGGCGGAGCAGGCCTTACGTGGATTGGTGAGTTGATTTTCATTTTAATAATCACGTAATGATTTCAAATCTTGGTAAATCTTATACAGAATATATTTTATTTTGATAATTAGTTGTCACGCAAAATCCAAATAAGTAATGCGAGAGAAATTTTGAATGCTTTTAAATCCAACTGTTTCAGAGGCCCAATATTGTAAATTAGTAAGAAGATACATCGAAAACTTCAGTGATTAGATTCAGTGGGCCATTTCCTTGGAAACATAATTTTCAAAGCAGCATTTGAGATCAGCTTTTGATGTCACTATCACTGGACTCTACAATTGATTTTTTCTTCCATGTGCCGTAATAAAAATGAAAAAGTGAAACCCCTCAGCTGACTTTTTTCACTGCCTGTGCTTCTTTTCAACGGAAGTAATCGCAGGACAAATATCGATGTAAATGGGGGTTTTTGCGTGATAACCGCCTGGTGATTTTGTACCATGTGACGAAAATTAGCCGATAGAATTAGTCGGAAAATTAATGAGTGGGCTGTAATTAACAAAAATCCAGACATTCTTCAACACTCTTTGCGGCGCATCTACAACGTCCGATGGCCAGAGATGATCCCAAATAAAGACCTGTGGGAGCGAGCGGGACAGGAACCAGTAGCAAAACAAATTCTGAAGAGGAAGTAGGGCTGGATCGGACACACCCTCAGGAAGCTAGCATCCAGCATCACACGCCAAGCTCTGACCTGGAACCCGCAGGGAAAGAGGAAGAGAGGCCGGCCTCGCAACAGCTGCAGGCGAGACACTGAGGCAGAGCTCAAGCAGCAAGGTACAAACTGGACAGGAGCAGCAAGATTAGCCCAGAACAGAGTGCGATGGCGAGGGGTCGTCGATGGCCTATGCTCCACACGGAGCCACGGGCCTTAGTAGTAGCAGTAGTGTAATTAACAATTAATTGCTGTGTGTGAAATGAGATTGTCGAGGGGATTGTTCAACAATATTCAATGAGCCGGAGGCGATTAATTGTTTGGCATAATTGTTCAGGTGCTCCAGAACTCTGGCCCCTGCCATAATCACCTTGCACGAGGTGATTATAGTGAGATATGACGCAATCCTCAACCAATTAGAGTCCGTGCATTTATACACACACCTAAGCAATTATACAACAAAGAAACATCCGTAAGCTGCTACCATAACAGGTGAGCTACAACGCCCGCCTTCTAATTTCATACCTGCATGACAAGATCTAGGGGACATATTCAGAAGGGGACTGTGCGGAGTGCAAGCATTTCGGAGTTTGCAATTAATCCTTGCTCATAGTTAAAAAAAGAGAGTACATAAGTTTTACTTATAACTTGATCACTGAATCCTACCCACAGATTGGGTTATTATGCCCTTCGTTCTCGGCCTACTCATACAGGAAATCGTGGAAGCCTGGAGGCAAGGTGCTTTCATTTACTTCTCAGAGTGGTGGAATGTTGTTGATACAGTGATTATCCTCACATTCGTGGTGGCCTACACTGTATGGTTGGCCGCGTGGGGCGGTAACGAAGAGTGGAGGCCTGGAAAAAAAATCATTCATCGTTGCAGATGTCATTTATGCCAGTGCATCCGTCATAGCCTATTTTCATTTGGCACACTTTTTCCAGGTCAATTCAACGCTGGGTCCCTTACAGCTGTCACTTTACAAAATGCTGAGAGATGTCCTTAAGTTTCTTGCCATCTTTCTCCTTCTCTACTTTGCGTTTGCTACTGGGGTAGCCAAGATTTACTCGTACTATGTTGCCTCTCAGAGAGAGCTCCAAAAGCGGGACACCAAAACCGCTGACTACCAACTTTCTCATCCATTTGCTTTGTGAGTATTCCAGAATATCTTTGGATTTTTCTCAAAGAGTGGTTGTCGAGCTAAGTTTCGGTTTCAAACTATTACTGAACATCATTTTGTTTCGTGCTTAAAATTTATTTTGATAACATGTTGCTTTGATTGAATATTTGAAATATTTTCCAAAATACTGGGTATTTGTGTTCCCCCTACTACCTTTTAACTCTCCTTTACGAACCCAGAGACGATCAGGAATTATAAACAAACACAGAAACTTTTGAAAAAACTGGAACTGACGACACCTGTTATATATATTTTAAAGTTGTTTGCCCCTTGCAAAAATTAATCAGTCATCAACTCATATTAATAGAAAAGCCTAGTCCGTGGCTTTAACCTTAATTTCGATTAAAATTAATTAGATGAAATTTCGTTTTCACACCTTTTTTAGACATACCAACACTTTCATTATCTTGTTTTGGTTGCTGTTTAATGTTGGTGGACAGGAGGAGAGCATTTCAGTGCAGGATCAAAACTTCACTCTCACTACCGAATTTGGTCGCGTATTTATGGGAGCCTACGTCATATGCACCATCCTTGTTGCCGTCAACATGCTGATAGCTATGATGGAGGAATCATTCCACAAAATCAAGGTCATTTGAAAGGGTTATTGGTTAAAGGGTTATTGTCTATGGTTAACAAACCAGAGACAAAAACTAAAAAGTTGACGCAAAACAACTGACGAAAATTTAGGAGTCTCTACAATCACAGTACAAGCTTCTTTTAAAAGTTAATTTGTTCTTATTAACTTTTCTGAGTTGATGAAATAAATTGCTCACCGTAAATTGTTTGAAAAGCTGACGCTTCGAGCGTTAACTCTTCGTCAGAGCGAAACGACGAGTGCGGTGAAGAAAAGCTGACGTTCGGAAAGTCAGCTGTAGAAACTTTTCAGGTGACCAATTTACAATATCAATTCAGATAATAAAACCGAATTATATTAGAAAAAGATGATCGCCGAAATCGTTTAAGAGTCACAGGCAGAAGAAATAAGTACGTTTAAAATGCAAGGTACTGGTTCTCCTAAACAAGCTTAGCACAACCCTTTCCCCCCCAACCCCCCCCCTTCCTTCCAAATTGAAATTGCTATTAATTAAAAACGCTAACAAACTAGTCTGACGATAATTTCCTTGCAAGCTTTAGTTAGGGAAATTTCCCCAACTTCATATTGAAATCACCAACCACTGAGCTCTAGTCTCTGTACATGATCCAAGTTGTTGTTGTTTTTTTTTTCAATGCTCAGTTAAACATAACCTTTGCGCTTTTTCTCAGAAAAACGCTGTTGTAGAGTGGAAATTCTCAAGAACCCAAATGTGGCTGGAATGGATTAACAAAGGCAACTCTGTTCCGGTTCCATTCAATATTCCATACGTCGTTCTGCGCCTTTTCTTTTGGTTTTGGTGCGGCTGTCGTGAATCACTGTGTTTCAAATGCGAAGTGGTACGAAATTAATTTTAAACTTCACCACCCCTACTTTAGTCTTCTTTTAATGATCCAAATGAAAATCCTTTGACGTCTAATTTTGGCCCCCAACGTTTGAGCGTACAGAGACCGACTAGTTCACTTGGCCAGTTGAAATGGTTTGTCTAACCATTTAGAGCACGCATTAAGAAGAGCGTAGTTAGCGAAATCTTCAACACTCATTTAGTATTTTAAATGTTATCCTGGTGAAGAAATCAGTCTAATTTTTGTTAAAAAAATTGAGGAAGGAATTCGAGAAAAATGAAGAGATTTTGCGATGATTTGGATGCCCATTTGATGGTGAATAATATCCATGGTTGGTTCGAATTCAAGAGTCAGCGTGCGTTCAGTCTTACTGCAATTTGACGTCATTTAAGATCCATTACTGAAAAGACGTAGGTCAAATGGAATCTATTTGTTAACCATATAGTGAATTTATTACTTTTTTTATGTTAACAGAATAACGAAGAAGAAAACACATGTTGCCGCGGGAACAAAGTCTCAAGAGAAGGTATTCCAGGAAACAATTTCGAACGATGTGACGGCTGCAAGGACTCGGCAACTCCCAATGAGGTACTCTTCACAATTTTTTTCTTTGTTTGTTTATTTGGAAATATATCTGAAGATGTAACACATCGTTTAGTAACCAAAGCTGCTAAAATAATTGAAAAATTCAGAGAATGATTAAACTAATTAATACTCAAAGCTAACCAATCGACGTTCACGGAATGAACTCCTCACTTGTGTGGGATTTGACACTAAATTAACAAAAAAAAAAATCTATTTGGAGCAAAAATATGCTTGGATATTTATACACGATCAATAATTATTCTGAGAGATGGAGTAATTTAAGGAACAGATCTAGATGTCTCACGACAACTGTACGACCATATCTTGGAGCCGAAAAGATTTTACCGTATTTATCAGCCTTCAAGCATTTTTTTTTAATCTTTTTCATTTTTTGAGCGGGATGAAAAGGTTAGCATCAAACACTTGTAAAGCATGAGAAGTGGATATTTGATGGATTATAAATGAAATTGACAAATATTTACCAAAACGGGGGTAAAACGGTGGACATTTACCGAGCCGCAAAGCTGCGAGGTAAATATCCATCACTTCCACCGACACTGAGGTGAATAATTGTTTTATTATATACCACACAGAAACCAAAACAATACTTTATATCTCCCTATATACCGGAAAATGTTAACCTGAACCTTGACGGGCGATTTTACTTATTTGGCCGCTTCGAGTTGAATGGTACTTGCTAATTACCTCCGAGCTAACCAATCAGCGCGTTCGAAAAGCACTATTCACCTGAGTGTTAGATACTAAGGTGAAATATCTGAATCGAGCGAAAGGAAGTCAATTTTCTCTAATCTCCACTCTATCTAACTGAGAATCAGAAGGAAAGTAAGGACTTTCAATCTAAACGATAGTTTTAACTCAAAGCAACCTTGTTCGAAACATTCCTAATGAAGCCTCAGTAGATGAATGCTGAATACACCACGATCAACATGATTAATGAAGGTAATAGAACCGAATGGACTCCAATTTGGTCTGTAATCATACGAGTGATTAACAAAATCGGACGACAGCGAAGCGAGAGTCCGATTTGTCGATCACGAGTATTATTACAGACAGAATTGGACGACACAAAGTTCTGTTACCAATTAATCATAACTGTTTCAATTTCCGAAAACAGCAAATACATTTAAGACAAAATATGTGCAGAAGAGGCAATGTCAAAGTAAAAAATTCCTCAACTTTAGAAATTCCACAATTTTTTTGGATAAGAAGTTGTTGCTATGGTTATCGTGATCAATTCTGTTATTGGTGGCTTCGACTGGAAGGACTAACTTTGATTGGCTGCTTCAACTGTCCGATTACAGTCAACTGTTCGATCACAACCCTACAGAATGATTAGTGAAAAATAAAGCAGCTATTGCACAAATCCCATGTGAGATTTTAATTATGCAATTTATTGGCAAGCTCTTGTGTACTAAAACTAATGCCATTTAATTATTCCTACGTTTGACTCTTGTCAATGAAACAGGAACGCCTTGAAGCATTGAAACCTTTGGTCATAAAATATCTGAAAAAGCACTACGAAGCCAAATGGAATGAATGCAGGGCGGCAACTGCCTGAAGTGACTCTGAAAAGGATCTACCATTAATTTACTCAGGCTGAAGACACTCCTTGTTTGCTTAGTTTTGTTCTAAATGGGAATAGACCGATGTTTTACCGTAGTCCATACAGTTTTCGTTTTTTGATGCTAGATGGTTGTCTTTCTCTTTGGCCAGAGTTGACGAATGTACATACAGAAGGAAAAATAGTGAAGATTTATTGATATGCAGAGTCGAAAGTTTTTAGGGTAAAAAAAAGTTGAGAAGCCAACTTCAACGTTTTAAAAACGGCTATTGCCAACAGAGGTCCCCAAATTTGTAGTGAACACAATTATTACTTAAAGTTTAATGATTAATTTCTGAAATCAGAAAATTTAAAGAAATATGCTCTAAATGCAGTTTCAACTCCATCTTCTCCATTCCAAAGTATCTATCTTTGTATTTCGAAATACACCAGGTACTATAACGATTTGACTGATGATTACATACTAAGTTAGATTACCCACGCATTTGATTGGTTTTTTCTTATGATCTATTGGAGGACAGACGCATAGATGACGTCACCATAAGAAACACTGTCCTTTTTATTATATAAAACAGATAGATTCCATGGTGCCGTAGGTTTATTCTTTACTAATAGGGATCTTTAGAAAACCACGATAGCGACGGAAACGAGGACGTAGCAAAGCAAAAGATTTAATGAGCAGGACAATAGCTCAGCACGTGCATTTTAAAACTGTGCACATTTCTTAGCCGTTCTCTACAAAATAACAACGTGAAATCATCAAAATTTGTGTGGTCCGAGAAAGGAAACCCCGACGGCAATTATTTCAGTTTCTATCGGGAACTCAACGCCGCCCTCATACGTTATGCAGAGGTTAACTTGCGGCGCCGTAAGAGATAGTAAGCACATCCAGTCAGTCGCAAAATTCCAACTAAAAGTCGACCTCATTTTCAAACAAACGTCTTCCTTGGCGTTGCCGTCCTAACTGCGAAAGGTCCCGAATAGATCACAGAAGACATCAGAATATGGTAAGAATATCATGAGACTCAGTCGTATTTTTTACGTTCGGTTTAAGGTTCTTATCACAACTTGATGTCATCTGTGATCTATTACTGAACAGAAGCACATGTTAGCGGGATAATGTATGTATATTAAGTAAAAGTTACATGTTAATCACTTCTGGGAGTTAAAGGGTTTCACTAATCAAAACTAGAAGCAGATAGCTGAAGATGAGCCAAAGGGAGGCTAGTAGATCCAGAGAGGCTGGTATCGCCAGTTTAATCGGAATGTATTCTGTTACTTTTAGTTAACCTGGCTCCTGCTAGTTTTTTTCTATTCTCAGACAAGGAGGTTGAGTTATTTGGCCAGGTTTATGCCCACAGGTGTTGACTAGCCATTGTTGTCAAGACCTTTTCAATCAAGATCTTTGTTCACGGAGCTTTGAGCCCATATGTCACCTGTTGCGTTTGATTATGACCTGACAAGACAAATGGGTGATGTGCTATGAGCAATCCTTCTTCTTCGGCTGTCGCGCGAGTCCAAAATCTAAGAATAGCTAAGGCCAACTTATGGATAGAGTAATCTAGAAAGGAAACATGTTCGTCAACTTGAAATTAGTAGTCTTGTAGCAAAACTTGCATGGTAAAGATTAAAGTGACTAAAAGAACTCCAAAAAAGTCGCGAGGTTTTTGCGGTCTCGAAAGCTTCCCGAAAGTCACAGAAAAATCCAGAAAGATGGTAACCATCCAACCCCGTAGTACAACATAGTTTCCTGCGTTTATGGAATTTCCGTTTGCGAACTTCATCTCTGGTAAATTGTATGTCAGTGTTTCGTCCGTCAGGGTTGTGGTGGAAAGCGTCGATTTCGTCGTGCCGTACGGTGGTAAATGTATCGTCAACGTTGCGTAGCCAAAACGGTACTGTTCGTCGGCAAGTCGATAAGGTGCGTTCCTCAAACATGCAATTTACCAGAGAAGTCGAAAAAAATGGTGAACTTTTTTTTCTCGTCTGCCTCGTAAGCCGTGACGACAACTCACTACGGACGACAGTTTACAGAAAACAGACTCAAGAAACCCGACATCACACAAAGCCACAGGACTATCAACTATAAGGACTCTAACACGAGTGCAGCTAGTATGCAACACGACAGACAACTTATCCGACGAGAACAAATACCTTTACCGTGTTTTTTTAAAGAACAACTACCGAAAAAAACGAAACCGCAACTCCTACGACAATTACAGTTGTCCTACAGCAATTATACCTTACATAAAGGGCATGTCTGAGAACATCCCGCGCATCCTACAACCCTTCAATATCCGCATCGCCCACAAACCCACCACCACACTTGACCAGTTACAAACAAACGCCAAACACAAAAAGGAACAGCGCGAGGAACAGACAGGAAGCGGTTTATCAGATCAATTGCTCCGACTGCCACGCCTCCTAAGTCGGAGAGACTGGCAGAATCCTCACGACAAGACTGACTGATCACAGGCGAGCGACGAGGAAAGGTGATGTCACCAATCACACCGCTGAACATCATCGACTTACGAACCACACTTTTGACCGAGACTCTGCGTAATGCCTAACCTAACTGGAAAGTTGGTTTAATAACTAAGAATAGACTAATCTCAACAGGTGTCAACTAGTACCGGCACCATATAAACGACCTCAGCACAACATCAACTTTACAAACAAACGACCACAACGACCGAATGTTACCCTCGGATCCAAACAGACCAATCACGACCGTCTTACTCCACTTAAGTCTTACGGCCAATAACATCACGGCAAAACTGACCAATCAGATTATACGACTCTGATGATGACTTCCACTGATGATGACGTTAGTCACAACAAGCGACGACAGTCCTTCTCAGAACCACAGTATCGTAATTACCATGTTAACCAACAGTATTTACACATTAATGAGCGAGTAAGTGACTCATTTGCAGGTAGGGAAAAAATCGTTTCAAGTTAAAAGAAAACAGCCAAAAAGATATGGTGGCTAGCGCGCCGCGCAGAACTCTGACACTACTTTTCGTGTGTCTTACTCCCAGGGTTCCGCACGCTGGCCACCATTTGATTTTTTTAAACTCGCGCAACAGACATCGCCGAAAAAGAGGAGTTACTAAATATGCTCGCTACGTCATATATTTAAGGCATATAAACACTTTCATTGGCTTGTTTTGGTTTCTGTTCGGTGGTGGTGGAGAAGAAAAGAGCATCTCAGTGAGGGATCGAGAATTTCTCCTTGTTACCGAGTTTGGAAGGATCTTGATGGGAGCCTACGTGATCTGCTCAGGGATAGTTGCCTTCAACACGCTGGTTGCCATGATGAATGACTCAGTCCGTAGAATTATGGTATGTGGTATTGATAAAGAGCCAGGAAAAAAACCTCAGCCTTAAATTCATGTATAAATCGCGGGCCACTTGTTAAAAAATTTAACTCGCAATTCGGTGATGTTTTTCGTTTGGCACTTCTTTAGTGCCAACCGAAGGAACCAGTTGGCACAGTGAAGGAACCGGTGACTTGTCACCGGTTCCTTCACTTGCAACGATCCAGTTTTGTGGTATAAAGCATATTGTACATATAAAGTATAAAATTTCGTATGGTATTTTCTTATTTTATATTTGATAAGAACATCGATGGACAAAAAAATGACTTTATTTAGTTCTTATCTTCGAAGGTAAATGCTCAAGAAGAATGGAAATTCTCAAGAACTGAAGTGTGGTTGGATTGGATTGATAAAAGAAACACAGTTCCAGTACCTTTCAATATTCTTTAGGTCGTCGTGCTGTGTTGTAAAAGAGCCTTATCCATCGTACTAAAACGTTGCATTAAGGAAAGAGATATACTTAAAGAAACTGTTTCCTGCGGCTTTTTCCTTCAATATTATCCTGGTAACTCTAGTTTAATTTTTTACATTTTTTTCTAGCACTCAGAGTATTCAAGTTAATTAAGGCTTTCGTTTTCTACCCTATATAGCTTCTAACGTTTTCTCTTTTTAACTCGCCCTACGTAGACAAAGACAGCATTTACTTTCTGTCCGATATTCCGTTTTGCCATAAAACAAGACTACCATTTAAAAAATCTATACAATATTTCTTACTTTAAAATCATATGCTAATGTCTTTCTCTAATAACTAATAGTCATGTACATAAACCTTTTTTAGAAAGACAAAAGTGGAGTTTTCTCAAAGCGCAGTGAATTTCATTAACAAAAAGTATGATTCTTTTACCTTAGAACAACATTAACCAAGATGAAACCTTTTGTTGTTGGGAGGAGAGAACATGCAATTCATCATTGAGATGTAATACATCAAAACCCTTCTTGCTAAAAAAGATCTAAGATAACAATTCATAGAAATTTTTACTGAGAGATTTAAAAATAAGACAATGTGGACGAGAGAGTTGAAGGGGATATACGAATTTCTTTTAGTTTCTTCGGTCTTTCCTCTCAGTGTTTTTGCCCTATCTTTAAATTCCTCCGCTATGACACGTTCATTCAGCTGAAAAGACTTGACACTTCCGGTTCAAATTCCTCACCCCACCCAGGCAAGGTTCAAATTCCCACCCGCTGGCAAGAACGACAATCAAATTTCCTTGAGTTGCCAGGGGGATGTTGAAGCTTCGAATTGATTGGCGGATAATAGTCATATCATAAACCTTATTGCAGCCGTTGAACAAAAAAGTTTCCGAGCCCGGTGAGATCTCCTTTTCGTTTTTCTACCCTGTAGCACTGTTGCGGTTCTTTAAATATTCAAGCCAGTCAGGAGCACAGTTAAAAGCAAAAGCCATACAATTATTGATGGAACATTTAACTTGACATTGGCCATAAACTTCTCAAACACCGAGTCTACTTTTAACTCTTTCACATGATGTCGCTCTTAGCTTTTAAGTGGGCGGTATTCTACCGAGAGTAGGAGTTATCAGGTCAGAATCATGATGGATTAATTATGATGAAACATTGAGAATTTTTTGAGTCATAACGGATTGCCTTTGGAGCGAAAAAAGATTGATTTTTATCAAAAGTACCGACCTTTCGTAATTTCATAATTCAGTCTGATGATTATATGGGAGAGCAGTGAAACAATCCATCGATCCGTATTTTAGGTTCGTTAACAAGGTTAACAAGCTCTCTGTCGAACGCCGCCATCCTGTCATCCTAAAATTTGATTCTCTCTCTCCTAAACAGAAACGCATTGCGGTAATGAAAAATTTGGTCGTGAAGTATCTGAAGGGACGTTACTCGGACAAATGGACAGACCATATGGCAGAATGGTTATAAAGTAGACGGGTTAGAACGATCCAGGAATGCCTCTCTTGTTCCACCTGCTTGTTGCTGTTGTTTCTACGTTTTACAAACTTTCTTTGTACACTGGGAGACAGATCATTCTGGTCGCAGCTCCGGCACTCTGGAATGTATCACCACGTGAGATTCGTTCTATTACAGATCTAGGGATTTTTAAGTGCCATTTGAAAACGCACTTTTTTAAGGAAACTTTTTATTAGTTTTTATCACGAAAATTACTAGTATCTTAACATCTATTGTATATTTTAATTTTATTATAGTATATTGTAAATAATTATCAGTTAGATACCATGTATTAAATTGCTATAGATAAAAATCATGTAATGCGCGCTTGATCATTTCATGGAAAGCGCGCAATATAAGAGTTAAATTATCATTAGTATTATTATTATTATTATTATTATTATTACCTTCAGTGTCCATGCGCTTTACAAGAGGGATGTTCAAGATTAAGAATTCTAGCATAGATTGACTTATAGCCCTTAAGTCTGCTTTGAGTAAATATATTGTTCAGATTCATGATACCTACATAGACTCTACATGGTGTAAGATGGTCGTCGTCAGTCAGTTTCGATCCATCGTTAGCTTGTTAGGTCGTTCTGTTGGAGTTCGTTTGTATGGTAATTGTCGTTAATAACGTATGGTGCCGGTAATTGTTGAAATCTGTCGGATGAAGCTGAAAAAGTGATCAATCAATTGACTGATCAATTCTTCATTCGATTCTGATGATGACTTCTGTTAAGGTTGTCAAAAAATCAGTCAGTACAGTCGAACCTCGATTATCCGGACATCGATTATCCGGACTTTTCGATTATCCGGACTTTTTCTCTGGTTGTTGTTGTTGAGGGTTCAACTTTTTATTGACCAACGTTTCAGAGTAATTAAGAATATTTTAGTGTTGTTACAGATCGGCGACTTTTCTTGTATTTCTTGAATCAACCTTTATAGTTTGATAAACGGAGAGTGTACTGTAGTTTTGTTATGTTGTATAATTTCGACCGACAGGTAAAATAAAGATAAGTCGTGAAAACTGGTACTCTGCTTACTGTAAAAATTACCTTAGTCCCTATGAAATATCACTTGCATTTTAGTCCTAAAGGAAAAACTTCTATCCCTACCAAGCAAATTTTTCGTTAAAGGGCCCTTAGGCTTTACGGTATACGTACTTCGTGTTCTTCGCACGAAAATCCTAATGGAATCTGGATACGTGCTCAATATCCATAACCGGTATCTTTTAGCGAAATTGGAGCATGAGTTAATTAAAAAGTAACCGATATTATGCACTCTTCAAATGAAATGCATGAGGTGAAAATTACAATAATGAGAAGCTTTAGAATGACTCTAGTATCACCAACTGTTAGAGCGTAAATAACACTCCTGACGCGTGACGTGTAACGTGGCGTGACAGTTGAACACGAAGGTAAGCGTTGAAGAGACGTTAAAGAAATATAGCAGAGATCTTTGTGGTGCTTCATGGTTTTCATGGTAGAATAACAAACTTAGTAAGTGCTTCAAGAGGACTCTTGGTGTTACTTTATGCGTTGTAATTAAATGTGCAATGTACTCTGGGAATTATGTGCAATTTCTGGCATTTCTCGCCGTATTTCTCTCTCCAAAAATATACTGAAAGCTGTACTCTGCCTACTGCGATTGCCACGAAGCAGAGAAATTTGGTAAAAAAAGGTCTCATAGGTTTGCCTCTTTTTTTTATTTTTATTACCGGTATCTCCATCCGCAGTCGCAGCAATCAGTGTCTTCTTAGACTGACGAATGACGAGCTCGATATACTTTGTCTAACCTTTTCCCCGGGAAGACGTGTTTCCTTCTTCGTTTGTCATCGCGATACAGCCGTCGATAGAAATCTAAAATCCTTTCACTTGATACCTACCCCCTTAACCGAGTCACATGGCTTCAGCTTGCCATGCTCGTAAACTCATTTTTCCGTTAATCGAGGTGACACTTCTGAATCACCAAATTTCATGGTACAGATTTTCTGTTTCATGACGCCAACAACAACGACAGGAAAACAACTTTGAGAGGTTTAGTCATCTAGTAGTTGGCCTTCACGAGAAAAAATCATTGTTTCCAGGTGACACTAGAATCACCTTTCACGATACGTGGAAATGAGAGGTCTGGGACGAGAAAGAATGGAATTCTCTCCATGAAAGCCCCCAACAATTCATGTTGAAGCGTTTTGTCGTTCCTTTGTCCCGGACACAACAAAGTATGCCCCAAGGAGGTAAAGGAAACTTTGATTCATTTCTACAAAAAGTACGGGAAGGAACCCCGGAAGAAGTAGAACAAACCCTGCGTCCTGCTCTCCATTCCCATCCAAATCCAACTGAAAGAAGTTACCGCCAGAAACCGTCTGACGCCCTTGAAGCAGACGATGCATATGAGGTCTGGAAACTTCTACCGCATCTTAATGGGTTAAGTAAGTTTATCTACTCAGAATTGAAGAGCCTCCGCGAGAACAACGGGAAGGAAGATTTGCCGAGCGAAGAAGATCGATTAAACCTAGATATTCAAAGCAACCCTCTGTGCTTAAGTCTAGAATGGCTGTGGAGGAATAATCCACAGTCTCCTCAGCACGAGGAAAGCGAGAAAGGAAGCATCATTGAAGCAGCTCTTGATAATGCTTTTCTACTGGAAAAAATGGCTTCGTACAAAAATCACTTCAGCCATGATAAATACATGGATCGTGCAGAGGAATGTGAAAAGTTTGCCATAGACATCGTTGAGCAAGTAAACGACAACAAAGAGCTGCTGCACAAAGTCATGGATATCGACGGAGAGGGAGCTTTGGTGAAGGAGAAGTCCAATGATTTTATTCGTAGCTTAAGTCTGCTCAAGATGGCCGCTAATAAAGAGCGCAAAATGGTGAGTGGTAAATTGATAAGTCTAATGAATACACTGTTTGAATTTACTGTGAATTTGAATTTACGTTACCAACTCAGTTGATAGTACCAAATTACCTCGTTAATAAGTCTTCCAGGCTCCGCTTGAAAGTGAAATTGATTTTTCTCAGGCTTTAATCCGCACTCATATAGGTAAAATATAACAAAAACTTTATCTTGTATTTTGTTGACAACCAAAAACGTTTAACGGTAATAGAGACATCATGTATTCGGAGAAATTGAATTCTCGGAAAACGATATGAATAAAAAAACCGTCGTAAGTAAATGTAAGAGGCCAATTTAACTCAGCGAGAACAATTCATTCCTGTGGCCGGGGTACAATTGATAACGCACTTTGCTTTCAAAATAACTTACAGAATTTAGGCAAGTGAAAATAGGGTAGGGGATGTAAAATGCTTCGCTTGTTATGTAATTTATCTGTCAGAAAACAACGTTTTCCATCTTTTGAGTGTGGCTAAGGTCCGTTTGCCTGCGTCTCTGGCATAGCTGTTTAGATGGAGGTTAAGGTGGCTCAGCCGCAAGCATCCGAGGAATGATGTTTATTCGACTGAACTTGCATTCCTCTCATAAGCCTCTCAATAAATCAAGTCGGCTTGGTCAAACACAGGACACCTCATCATAAACGCATTACCACACACCCAATGATTAAACTGAGCACCTTCGTAAAAACTGTGCATTGCTGCATACGAAAGAAAAAGGAAGACCTCTTTAAAAAGAAAATTTGGCTTGTTTGTCATTGAGAATTTTGCGCCAGAGTTTACGATTTTAATTTGCGAAAGTATGAAATCGATGCTCATTATCTTTGCAGGATCTAAATCATATACCGGAAACGTCAGACGTATTTGACATAACGGAAAAGACAGGGAAAGAAAAATGACAACTAGCAGACTTAACGTCTTTCAAATTTAACAAAGTCTCTGAGTAATAGATCATTCCCCGTACTTTCGTGAGTTTACACTCCATTTAATTGTTAATTTTCAATTGTTCCCGGCGCTTCGCCTCTGAACATTCTCAGATGATCCCCAGAACTTGTAAGGGTGGCGCCGGTTAGAAATTTCAGTAGTTTTACGCGACAGCAGCACTAAAAACGCAATAAACTATTTTGGTCAGGCAACGTCAGACTCTCTCACAAAGAGGACGCGAGGCGCAAAAGCAAATTTAAACCTTTCTGAGCCTATTTTCACGGAATTAACCTTGGACGAAACCTCGCTTGCAAACATTAACCTCGAAGATCGGAATAAGAAAATGGCTGAGTATAAAATTGGATTTCATTGCAAATCCAAAGTGGTATGTTTTTCCAAGAGCTGTCTTACCCTCAATAACAAGCAACTACGCGATTCTCAAACCTGCTAATACTGTTGAATTTCAGCATCAATTCAGGGAAATTAATTTTCTCATAATAAACCAAACATTTCTCTAACACTAGCCAATTGTTGTCTATCGTCTAGCATTGACAAACATCAGCATTTTTTCACGCCTTCTTTTGTACAAAGCCGCTCACAAGGATTTCATTTTGACCACAGTTTCACTTTGGTTTTACTTGATTTTCAGTTTGTGGCAAGCCCAAACTGTCAATTTGTTCTTGACGAAGTCATCTACCACGGATATCCTGGTTGGCGAAATAGGGGAATCGGGATTAAAGCAGCCTGGTGCTTGTTTCAACTTTTACTCGTCACCCTTACGATCCTCTTTTACATCCCACTTAAGTTAATTCGCAAGAATTTCCCGTGCTGCTCTGGATTTGACTCCGACTGGCTGAAAAAGCCGTACCACTGGCTGATAATGCGGTATGAGCATCCTTACTCGAAGTTTCTTAACCATACCATGTCATACATTATATTTTTGGCTTTAATCTTTGGGTCATCTTTTGAGTACAAGTATGTGCCTGGCAGAGCAGGCCTTACGTGGATTGGTAAGTTGATTTCATCTGAATAATCCATTTCAAATCTTGTGTTCTTTAAAGGGCGAAACGGAAACTTGTGTAAGATACATTTTATTTTGATAGTTAGTCGTCACGCAAAATCCAAATAAGTAATGTAAGAGGAAATTTCTTAACACAGAAAGTCGTGATTTTATCTTGCCGCTTCCCACCAACAAAATCCAGGGGAATTTGAGTGCTTTTGAGTCCAATTGTTTCAGAGCCCCAATATTGTAAATTAGTACGAAGATACATCGAAAACTTCAGTGATTAGATTCAGAGAACCATTTCCTTGGAAACATAAAAATTATTATGACAGACATTGTAGGTAGATGAGAAAATAAGATTCTGCCCTTCATGACTTGCAATTTGAATGCATCTATTTTTCTAACACTCGACAAATATTAAGTAAATAAATCATCCTTAATGCGGCTGGCATGTCGGCTGATAATGTCCACGGCTGGTGTATTTTCTGAAAAATGACTATTTGGCTTAAGAGAGAAGCTACGAGGGCAATCCCTCAGCCGAGGACATTATCAGCAGACATAACGGCAAGCCAGGAGAGGGTTTATTTACTTTCTAACCCTCTCATTGATTTTTGTACCGGGGATTGACAGCAAATTTTGTTTATTTCTCGTACTTTTCAAAGTAGCATTTGAGATCAGCTTTTTAATGTTACTATTACAGGACTCTACAGTTCGTTTTTCTTTCTATAAACCGTAATAAAAATGAGAAAGTGAAACCCCTGAGCTTGCTTTTTCCGTTGCCTGTGTTCCTTTTCGACGGAAATAATCGGAGCACAAATATTGATGCGAACGGGGGATTTTTTGCGTGATAACTTCCAGGTGATTTTGTACCACGTGACGAAAATTAGCCTATAGAATCAGTCGGAAATTAATGAGTGGGCTGTAATTAACACCAAATTGCTGGGGAGGAAGTGGGATTGTCGAGGGGATTTTCAACTAAATTCAATGAGCCTGAGGTGATTAATTGTTTAGTATAATTTTTCAGGTGCTTCAGAATTCTGTTGTAAATTCGTTTTGCTGTTGAAACCATCCTATTACAGTCCTCGTATAGAGATAAGCAACTAGTTTCCTCAGAATTATATTTTCTTCTTTCATGTTTATCACTTCCTTAGTAACATTGACAAACGCAAGGTAGCTGTTTTGACTATTATGGGCCCCTGCTCTAATCACCTCGCACGAGGTGATTATGGTGAGATATGGTGCAATCCTCAACCTATTTGAGTGCGTGTCTTTCTATACACACCTGAGCAATTATAGTAAACAGAAATATCGGTAAGCGCTATCATAACAGGTGGGCTGCAACGCTTGCCTTTTGATTTCATACCTGACAAGATCTAGGGGACATATCCACAGGAGAACTGCATTGGAGTGCAAGCATTTTGGAGTTTGCAATTAGTCCTTGTTCATGGGTAAACAAAGAGAGTACATCAGCTTTACTTATAACTGGATTAATAACTTCTACCCACAGATTTGGTTATAATGCCCTTCGTCCTTGGCCTACTAATACAGGAAATCGTGGAAGCCTGGAGGCAAGGTGCTTTCATTTACTTCTCAAAGTGGTGGAATGTTGTTGATACAGTGATTATCCTCACATTCATAGGGGCCTACGGTCTATGGTTGATCGCGTGGGGCGTTTACGGAGAGTGGAAGCCTGAAAAAAAGTTTTCATCTATGCAGATGGCATTTATGCCAGTGCTTGCGTCGTGGCCTATTTTCATTTGGCACACTTTTTCCAGGTCAATTCAACGCTGGGTCCCTTACAGCTGTCACTTTACAAAATGCTGAGAGATGTCCTTAAGTTTCTTGCCATCTTTCTCCTTCTATACTTTGCGTTTGCTACTGGGGTGGCCAAGATTTACTCGTACTATGAAGCCTCTCAAAGAGAGCTCTAAAAGCGGGACACCGAAACCACTGACTACCAGCTTTCTCATCCATTTTCATTGTGAGTATTCCAGAATATCTTTGGATTTTTCTCATAGGTGGTTGTCGAACTAAGTTTCGGTTTCAAACTATTACTGAACACCATTTTGTTTCGTGCTTAAAATTTATTTAAATAACATGTTTCCATGAATGAAAAACTTGAAATATTTCCCAAAATACTGGGTATTTTTATTCCCATACAGCCTTTTAACTTTCCTTTGCGAACTAAGAGACGATCAGGAGTGATAAACAGACAGAAACTTTAAAAAAAAAACTGGAACTGACGACGCCTGTTATATATATTTCAAAGTTGTTTGCCCGTTGCAAAATTTGATTAGTCATGAACTCATATTGATAGCAAAGCCTAGTCCACGGCTATAGCATTAGTTTCTATAAAAAAAAAAAAATGAGATAACATTTCGTTCTCACACCTTTTTTCAGACATGCCAACACTTTCATTGTCTTGTTCTGGTTGCTGTTTGGTGGTGGTGGACAGGAAGAGAGCATTTCGGTGCAGGATCAAGACTTCACTCTCATAACCAAGTTTGGTCGCGTATTTATGGGAGCCTACGTCATATGTACCATCCTTGTTGCCCTCAGCATGCTGATTGCTATGATGAACGACTCATTCCACGAAATCAAGGTAATTTTAAAGGGTTAGTTTGGTGCTAAGTTATTCTACAAAAAACCAGAGACAAAAACTAAAAAGTTGACGCAAAACAACTGACAAAAGTTTAGGTGTCTCTGTAATCAAAGTACAAGCTTCTTTTGAAAGATGATTTGGTTTTATCAATTGCTGACCGTTATCATCTCTTTGTCAGTGAGAAAAGAAGAAGGGTACTGTGACGTAAAGCTGACGTTCGGAAAGTCACCTGTAGAAACTTTCTAGGTGACCAATTTACATTATCAACTCAGATAATAAAAAAACCAATTATCTTGTAGTACTCTCCACCAACGCAGCATCATACTTTGGTCAAAAACTTACCCATTTATTCATTAAACATTTTTTAACGATCACCATGGCAATGCAGACTAAATATTAGAAAAATATGATCACCGAAATCGTTTCAGAGTCACATGCAAAAGAGATGATTACGTTCAAAATGCAAGGTACCGGTTCCACTTAACAAGCTTTGGACACCCCCCTTCTCCCCGCTATAAATTAACAACACAAACAAACAAGTCTGACAATAACCCCCCTGCAAGCTTTAGTTAGGGAAATTTCCCCAACTTCAGCTCTAGTCTCTGTACAAGATCCAAGTTGTTGTCTGTTTTTCAATGCTCAGTTAAACGTAACAAATGCGCTTTTTCTCAGAAAAACGCTGTTGTAGAGTGGAAATTTTCAAGAACCCAGATGTGGCTGGAATGGATCGACAAAGGCAACTCTGTTCCGGTTCCATTCAATATTCTATATGTGGTTCTGTACATTTTCTTTTGGTTTTGGTGCGGCTGTCGTGAATCACTGTGTTTCAAATGCAAAGAGGTACGAAATTTAATTTTAAACTGCACCACCCCTACTTTTCCCCTCTTTAAATAAGCCAAATGAATGTCCTGTGATATCTAATTTTGGCATTCAGCGTTTGAGCGTACAGAGAGCAGACTGGTTCAATTGGCCACTTCAAATCGTTTGTCTAGCCAATTAGAGCACATAATAAGTAGTGCGTGGTTAACAAAATCTTTAACACTCATTTCCAATTTAAAATGTTATCCTGGTGAAGAAATCAGTCTAATTCTTGTAAAAAAAAAATTAGGTAAAAAAATCGAGAAAAATTAAGAGATTGTGCGATGATTTGGATGCCTATTTGGTGGTGAATAATATCCATAGTTGGTTAATTCGAATGCAAGCGTCAGCAGGCGTTCAGTCTTACTACAATTTGACGTCATTTAAGATCCATAACTGAAAAGGCGTAGGTCAAATGGAATCTATTTGTTAACCATATACGTGAATTTATTACTCTTTTTAATAAAAACAGAATAACCAAGTCTCGAGAGAAGGTATTCCCGGATGCAATTTTGAAATATGTGACGGCAGCAAGGACTCAGAAACTTCCGATAAGAAGGTACCCTTAACAATTTTTTGTATATTTGTTTATTTGGAAATATTTCTGAAGGTGTAACATATCGTTAAGTAACCACAGTTCGCTGTAATAAAAGAATAACACAACTCTAGTATGAAAAGTTCAGAGACTGATTAAACTAATTAACTGACTCAGAGCTAACCAATCGACGTTCACGAAATGAACCCTTCACTTGGGTGGGATTTGTCACTAAATTAACAAAAAATTTATTTGGGGCAAAAATATGCACGGATATTTGTTCACGATCAATAGCTATTCCGAGAGATCGAGTAATTTAAGGAACAGATGATGTCCCACGACAACTATACGACAATATTTTGAAGCCGAAAAGATCCTACCGTGTTTATCAGCCTTCAAGCATTTGTTTTATTATTACATTTTTAGCGGGACAAAAAGGTTGGCGTCAAACACTTGTAAAGCGTGGGAAGGGGATATTTGATAAATTATAAATGAAATTGACAAGTTTTCAACGAAATGGGGGTAAACGCGGTAGACATTTACCGAGCCGCAAAGCTGCGAGGTAATATCCACCACTTCTACCGACGCTGGGGTGAATAATTGTTTTAGTATATACCACACAGAAACCAAAACAATGCTTTATATATCCCAATATACCGAAAAATTTTAACCTAACCCTTGACGTACGATTTTGCTTATTTGGCTGTTCCGAGTTGAATGGTACTTGTTAATTACCTCCGAACTAGCCAATCAGCGCTCTTGAAAAGCACTATTCAGCTGAGTATTAGATACTAAGGTGAAAAATCTGAATCGAGCGAATAGAAGTTAATTTTCTCTAGTCTCCACTTTATCTAACTGAGGATCAGAAGGAAAGTAAGGACCTTTAAAGCAAACGAGGGTTTTAACTCAAGGTAACCTTGTTCGAAACATTCCTAATGAAGCCTCGGTAGATGAATGCTGGTTACCACCATGATCAACATGATTAATGAAAGTAATAGAACTGAGTGGACTCCAATTTGGCCTGTAATCATACGAGTGATTAACAAAATCGGACGACAGCAAAGCGAGAGTCCGATTTGTCAATCACGAGTATGATTACAGACAGAATTGAACGACACGAAGTCCTGTTACCAATTAATCATAACTGTTACAATTTCCGAAAACAAAAAATACATTTAGGACAAAATATGTGCAGAAGAGACATTCTCTAGGTAAAAAATTCCTCAACTTTGGAAGTTCCATTATTTTTTTGGATAAATTATTGTTGCTATGGTTATTGTGATTAATTCTGTCATTGGTGGATTTGACTGAAAGGACTAAGTATGATTGGCTGCTTCAACTGTCCGATTACAGGTTTCTGATTGCAGGTTTCTGATTACAGCCAACTGTCCGATTACACTGTCCAATTACAACTCTACAGAATGATTAGTGAAAAATAAAGCAGCTAATGCACTGATTATGGTGATGGTGATGATTATGCAATTTATTGGCAAGCTCTCGTGTACTAATACTAATGCCATTTAATTAATTATTCTTTCGTTTCACTCTAGTCAATGAATCAGGAACGCCTTAAAGCAGTAAAAACTTTGGTCGTAAAATATCTGAAAAAGCACTACGAAGCCAAATGGAATGAATGCAGGGCAGCAACTACCTGAAGGGACTCTGAAAAGGATCTACCATCAGTGTGCTCAGGCTGAAGATAATCCTTGTTTTTTTTGTTTTGTTTTGTTTTAAATGTGAACAGACCGATGTTTTACCGTAGTCCGTACAGTTTTCGTTTCTTGATGCTAGATGGTAGTCTTTCTCTTTGGCCAGAGTTGACGAATGCACACTCTGTAGGAAAGCTAGTGAAGATTTAATGATATACAGTCGAAAGTTTTTGGGGTAAAAAAAAGTTGAGAAGCCAACTTCAACGTTTTAAAAACGGCTATTATCAACAGAGGTCCCCAAATTTGTAATGACCACAATTGTTACTTTAAGAATGATGATTAATTTCTGAAATCAGAAAATTTAAAGTATACTCTAGATGCAGTTTCAACTCCATCTTCTCCATTCCAAAGTATCTATCTTTGCTTGAGTGTTACCACGATATTAGCTTAAGATTGGCTAAACCACTTTGAAAGACGGGAGGTTTACATATGGGTATTTCGAAATAAACCAGGTTCTAGAAGGATTTGACTGATGATTACATACTAAGTTAAATTACGCACGCATTTGATTGGTTATTTCTCATGATCTATTTGTGGACAGACGCATAGATGACGTCACTATTAGCAACACTTTCTTTTTTATCATATAAAACAGATAGATTCCATGGTGCCGTGGGTTTATTCTATACTAACAGGGACCTTAAGCAAACCACGATGGCGACGGCAGCGAGGACGTGACGAAACAAAAGATCTAACGAGCAGTACAATAGCTTAATCAGAACGTGCATTTTTAAACTGTGCACATTTCTTCGCCGTTCTCTGCAAAATAGCAACGTGAAATCATCAAAATTTGCGTGGTCCGAGAAAGGAAACCCTAACGGCAAATTATTTCAGTTTCTATTTGGAACTCAACGCCGCCCTCATACTTTATACTGAGGTTAACGTACGGCGCCGTAAGAGATGGTAAACACATGCAGTCAGTCAGCGAAATTCCAACTAAAAATTTGTATTCATTTTTAAATAGACGTCTTCCTTGGCGTCCTAACTGCTAAAGGTCCTTAATAGATCACTGAAGACATCAAAATATAGTAAGAATATCAGGACACTCGGCCGTATTTTTTACGTTCCGTTTAAGGTTCTTATCACAATTTGATGTCATCTGTGATCTATTACTGAACAGAAGCACATGTTGGCTGGATAATGTATGTATATTACGTAAAAGTTACATGTAAATCACTTCTGGGAGTTAAAGGGTTAAACAAATCAAAACTAGAAGCAAATAGTTGAAGATGAGCCAAAGGAAGCTAGTAGATCCTGACAGGCTGGTATCACCAGTTCAATCGGAATGTATTGTTACTTTTAGTTAACCTGGTTCCTGTTAGTTTTTTTCTATTCTCAGACAAGAAGATTGAGTTTCAGACTCCAAATACTTATACATAAGGAACGAGTGATTTGGCCAGGTTTATGCCCGCAGTTGTCGACTAGCCATTGTTGTCAAGACCTTTTCAGTCAAGATCTTTGTTCATGGCCCATATGTCTCATATGTCGACAGTTTGCAGGAGACAGACGCAGGAAACCCTTCATCACACAAAGCCATAACTATCAGGACTCTACCACGACGATTGCAGCTAGTATACAACACGACAGACAACTTATCCGACGAGAACAAATACCTTGACCGTGGTTTTTCAAAGAACATCTACCAAAACAAACGAAACCGCAACTCCGACGACTACAGCGACTATACAGTAAATAAAGGGCATGTCTGAGAACCGCGCCGAACTCTGGGAGTACTTTTCGCGCGTCCAACTCGCGGAGTTCCGCGCGCTAGCTAGCATTTGATTTTTTGGCTGATTTTTGAAACTCGCGCGACGGACATAGCCGAAAAAGGGGAGCTGGTCGAAATTAACAAAGATGAAGCCTGATTTCACACTTAAGACTCCACAGGTTCGAAAGCTTGACACTTACACACTAGACTCTGTAAATTCATGGCTATAATTTTCAAAATAATTTACCATTTAAATGTTAACATATTTTAATCAACATTTTTATGTATTATGATACATATAAGTCAAGTACGACGTTATATTAAAATTTGTATGTATCCATAATGAGGGTGATATGATTAATGATAATAACAATGTCTAGCGTCTCTTTGAATAAAATATATAGTTTTATTCCGCTGTAAATCATTTTTAGCTCCCTGATTCAAACCCACGTTCATCACTTCAGGTATCAAGTAACGCTACCAGCTAATGAGTCTGGACATTAAGAAAACCTCGACGACGACAGCAACGGGGACGTGGCAAAACAAAGATCTTATTGGTAGAACAATGGCGCAACGCTGCTCACATACGCTACGCTAAAGTTGAGGTATGGCGCCACGAGAGACGGTAAACACATCCAGCCATTCGCAAAATTCGAATCAAAAACACAAAATCAGGTTTCAATTGAAGTCTTCCTCCACGTTTTCGTCGTACCTGCTTAAAGGTTCCTATTTAGAGAGGGCAACAGTCAACCTAAGGATTATTACCAGTGATTGCGATGGATTGAAAGTTATCTGTAAAATTTGCATCACAAGACGGGGGGGAAGAAAAGAAGAGAGATCTAGAGGAGGTTTGAAGGGTGCGTGCACCACCCCCCTGATATTACCTGAAGCTTTTCAATATCTTTACAGAATCTGCTGTATCACTTCTTTTGTACTCTCAGCAGATAAAATTACGTTATTGCCTCGTTATTCGCTTTTCAAGTTTGTGTAAGCCACCCGTCAGTTCCACCATTCTCTAGTTGTACACCACCCCCCCCCCCTTCCCATAGAAAGGTGAAAGATCCTGGATCCGCCCCCACAAGACATGAACATTTCTAAAAATACCAGCAGCTCTAACGTGCTAATGTTTTTGAAGATATCAAGAAATCACAGCTTGTAGGTTATTTCAGTAGGTGGTGGGTCAATCAATTGTAAAAATCTGTCGGAATACATTTTCGAAGATCATCAAATAAATTAACTAGTTCTCTAACATAACGATAATAATTAATCATCTCGTCTTCAAAATGACGGCGAAGACCGTCACAAACAACTGTATAAGGCTGGGTACTGTTAGAGTATTAGACACATTGTAGCTACATTGCATCGCGACGTTCTTCAGAGCGGGGCACTTTTCCTTCTTTTTAAGACTCGTTTGGGTCTCAATGTGTGCGCATGTGCCGTTTACGATGCGGAATGCGCCTGCGTCATACACTCGGTTGCTAATGTGGCAGTTAAAGTTATAAAAGTAGGATTGACGGTACTCGCTCCAGTTCTCTATCACAAGCAGATAGAGATTAGTCCTAGGGAGAGCCGAGAGGAAAAACTTCCCGGATCTGCAAGGACCATCAACAGAGTCCGCAATGATGCCGTCAGGACCTACCAAATAAGACCGATGAAAGTCAATTCTCTTACTGATACGGGTCATAACAAGAGACGAAAAAAAAAGTAAAAACATAAAAATACAATGATGTTGAAAATCTATCACGATACCAACGAGAGCATTCAAGCCGCTGACCTTCCGATTTCTCAGTCTGTAACTCTACTTACTAAACTATAAGGCGACCTCGTTGGCTAGCTGTTATAGCTTTCCTGAGCATCAGCATCAATACATGCGGAAGTTAATAATATACTAAGCTTACCCAGAACAGCATCGTCTGAAGTGTAGCCTACAACATCCTGAATGCAGCCGTACTCGTTTCTAAATGGAGGAATAGGCCCTCTGTTCTTGTAGTAGTCATCTTCCTGTTCAGGTGTTCTAACGATTCCTTCCAGTGTTACCTGAAAGATAAGTTATTGAATTTTAAGTGAAAGAAGATGTAATCTTATTGATACAGTCAATTTAATGAAAATAAACAAGAATTCTCTGAGAACGAAAAGATCCTTACAGAATGTGGAGTGAAAAACTCGAAGCATTTGTCAATTCACTTAAATGGTCATTCGGAAAGCTTACTGATGGACTCCCAACCACAAAGAGACCTAAACAGTTGTAGCTCTTTTAAGGACACCGAAGTGGAATAAAACGGGTTAGTATGGACATACCTTAGGTGCATACGGGGAAACGCTGCAAATTCCCTGGAAATCAACTCGTTGGTTAGGGACAAAGAACTTATGCTTTGTGACCAAAAGTTTCATTACGTCACCCTCTTTACGTCCCAAGCTTACTCGTTCATATTCTCGCGCGTCTGTGGTACTCGCCAGAAGGAAGTCTGGATCGGTGACTAAATTAGCCAAGTTATCTACTAGGTAGCATCTAAGAGAAAAAAAAAAAGTCGTGGTTTGGGACGTTGTTTTCTTCTCTGGATTGCAAGATAATTTAGTTTTATCAACTGAATTGGTACTGTAATTTGGCCACCGTTCAGAGTATCTATGGCTGACATTTCAAGCATTAGCCCTCTGTCATTTTCTCTGACGAATATTATATCCCACCGACTCAGCCACACAGTTTCTTTAGAAACTTACTCCCTTTTTCACTTCCTTTCACGTCGTTCTACGCCGCATGCAATTTCTTTCAGGAATTGTGTTTTCGTCAAAAAGCTCGACAATGTCTTCACTGTTACTTGTTGGAGGGAATGGGGAAAGATAGGGGAATTAGAAAAAAATTGCACCAAAATGGGGAATTTGGATGTTTGAAGAGACTTTAGAAGAATGGATTACGAGGAACAGTCAACGGCTGAAAATATTGTGATATCGCTCTAATTTTCATGGAAACCCGGAAAGTCCCTGTGCCAGCTACCCATTCGTTATTTTTTCCTTCCCATCGAGTAAAAATTTTTCTCACAGGAAAGGTTTTGCACATGGCCTCATATTGAAAGTGAGTGTTCTTGATCTCGGAAATGGTTTGCAGGTATTGGTAACGGCATTACATACCTCGTTTGACACACGTGCTCGCCATCAGGACAAGTGTAGTTCATTCCACAGGATTTCTCCTCTCCTGAGCTGTCCAGCAGCCCGTACACTCGGCGACGGAAATCATTGTATAGGATATCTAAGGCTGTGACTGCTTCAACTCGATCCCCAGCGCAAAGGGAACGATTCCCTTCATAAACACGACACTTGCCTGAAATACACTGAACATCCCTAGAATATGAAGGAAGGCGCAAACATTAAACCAGTAGCAACAATAGACATGCTTGTCACACTATGACATGGCATGGTATGTCATACTATGACATGGCATGGTATGTCACACTGTGACATGGACTGCTATGTCACACTGTGACATGGCATGGTATGTCACACCCTGACATCGCATGGTATGTCACACTATGACATCGCATGGTATGTCACACTATGACATCGCATGGTATGTCACACTATGACATCGCATGGCACGCCACACAACAGAAGCTCCGATTCTCTGTTATCAACAAACCTTACATGTGCATTATCATACCTTGAACACGCGCATCCTCCTGGAAGATTACTTGTGCCCCCGCAAGTTATATTAGACGTGTTTTGTGGCAAAGCCTGGAAAACTGCCTCTGAAATTGTGATCACCTTTCCAATACCATTGGCGTCCATGTAGGCATTAGACACAGCTGCTTTGGCTGGATTTACCAAGGCACGGTGATACCATGGCCGCCTGTGAGATTTTAAGGTCAGTTATTAATATTTTGTGTTTCACAAACTATTTAAAAATATTTAAAAACCAACAGGCTTGAAAACTAAATAGGCTCTCCAACGGAAGGGAAAAGTTGGATTCCGAGAGGAGGAGGATTAGAATAAATGTCCAGCGCTGATAAACGTTTCACCCGTTGAAATTGTCATTTTCACTCTTGCCGAAGGAATTCTAAAATATGAACAACAGCAGCAGTAAGTAATAATTGCAAGTTTCTGGTTTTGCCACTTTTCTAAAAATCTTTCCTGAAGTTAAAAAATCTATTCATATGAGCACTATTGCCACACTAACTGACTCAAAACTAAATTAAACGCAGATGCAGCCAGGCTTTATTTCTTGTAAGAACTCTTACTTGGTCGGGTCGAAGTTCTTTCGTGAGCGGTGGCCTGGGTAAGAACGGAAAATACCACTTCGTGTACCAATGTATGTCCAGGGAACATCTTTCAAAATCTCTCTCGACCGATTGTTCTTCCATATGTCCTCTATTAATGATGTAATCTCTACATCAGGTCTACAGCAGGGGAAAAAAGAGAAAAATAAAATAACCGTCGCACTTTCAGTACATTTTGGATCAGTAATCCAGAAACTGCATTCAAAAAACAAATTTAACTGCGTTCTATTGGAAGATCGCCGACGAGTTGGTGCGAGAAGTAGACCACCGGATAAATGTATGAGTTACATACCAGAACAGCACTTAATAAATCTTAAAAGAAATGAATAAAATTAACTGCCTTAAGATAACCTCTGTCGATGGTTTCATATTCTGTTCATCTCGGATGCTGGCGATGAATCGTTAGCACTGTGTCCTGCATACACACTCATGCTGAACACCACAAATGTTGACTCTTGAGGGAGTTCGAATAAAATTTCTCGTCTTTTCTTCATAACTTCAATTACACCAACGCTAATACAAGATAACAGAACAATTTTCAATTGAGTGTCGAAAGTCATCCGGGTTTGTTTGGGTTTCATGATTGGTACAGAAAACTCGCACCACTTTCCAAAACAATCCCATTCAAAACTAAAACCAAACGCGATTTGGCCAACCGTGTTTTCCCGCGGTTCAGACAGTTGGCTTGTTCTAAATTTGAGTTCTCATTGGCTCCTTGATATTTTCTTTCGCTCCGATTGGCCGTTTCGATTTCTTTTACTTAGGCTCTGCGACACTCAATCGAAGGCCCTCCCACGAATCGTGTTTTTATCGTACCTAACAGAAGCCCGAAATCGTCCATGTGGACAACCACTGTTATCTCCATCCCCGTTCAGAAAACGATGTGCTTCGATGGTGATATCGCTGTTATTTTCCCTGAAGAGGAAGTTGTTTGGGTTACAGTAGGTCTTGGGGCTCAGCATCACAGTGGACACGTTAAAAGTCAAGGGTAAATCAGGGAAGAAAGACACGTTGTACTCAACATTTAGATCTTCGTACAAATTTCCCAAAACCTGCAGGAGAAGAGAAATAATCAATTTAACCCTTTAACTCCCAAGATCTCATTAGAAATTCTCTTTACTGGCTGCTATAAAATTCTTCTGATGTGACTTCTGAGAATTTGGTCTTGGATCAACTAATCCCCTAATTGATACTTTTCTTGATTCTTGCCAATTGTCTTCTTGGTGTTGTATTGATATTGTAAAGAGAAATTCTGTCTTGGTCACTCATGGGAGTTCATGGGTCAACAAATAGATTCCATGTTGCCGAGCGTCTGTTCGGTAGTTGATCACAGATGACGTAAAAATGTGATGGGGATTAAAAAAGGAAAATGTTCCTAACCCTTTACCTTCCAAGATCTTGTTAGTTATTCTCTTTACTGTCTGACATACAATTCTTATGATGTCAATTTGGAGAATTTGGTATTGGATCAACTAATAATCCCATGATTGATATTTTACTTTATTCTCATCACTCGTCTGCTTGATATTGTATCGATATCGTAAGGAGAAATTCTTTCTTGGTCACTCATGGGAGGTAAAGGGCTAATGGTGAGGACAACTAATATTCTGTTCTCCATTAGCTCATAATTAAGAACGAATCATAACGCGTGTATAATTCAATTTATCGTATAAAACATTACTGACACGGGGAAGGGTACAATCTTCAACAAAAATGGGGGAGGAGATGGACATTGTTGTTAGGCGATGAAAAATGGGGAGGGGGAGGGTTGGTCTGCCGATAGTTTGGCTAAAGATTGCGCTCAGTTCGTCTGCTTGCGTAAAAAAAAGAAAGTAAAAGCTTCAACTGTCGAAATAAAATGAACTAAAATTTTACGCAAACACCAGAGTTTGAGGACTGAGCATGGATGTAAATGTTTGTAGAACTAACAAACAAAACACGTAACAAAACACGTACTGGCCACGTATGAAATCTAAGGACAACTATCACTGTCCAGAACAGGACCTTGATTGCTGTAAGCCTCACTGGCGTATTGAATACATAACCCTTTCCAAAAATTTTTTAATTAACCGTCGAAGTTGATGTACTAATACATATTCCTTACCTGCCTCACTTCAGGGGAGTTATAGGACAAAATGTTGGCGTAATAATTGACAGGAATTTTCATCCCACGCGGCGGTGATGCTGGTCTGCGGTAATTCTTATCCGAGTCTGCGAGATTGAAGGCAAAAACGTACTCGGAGTCCTTGATTGACGTGTAGTAATAAGTGGAGGGTAGAGTAACGAGCATAACTCCATCTTGAAAATCTCCTTTTGGAATGCTTCTAATGGCGTTTTCGATTCTGAGAGAGCCAGTTTCGCCATCCATCATGCCTTTGGCGACTGTGTCAAACTCCGCCGGTTTACCATTGCGCTGTTCGAGGGTGCTGATTGGAATGAAGATTGGATCATCCACAAGCTGTGTGAGGAAAGCAAAACACCGAATCAAGGCACAACGTTTAACTGTCACATAAAGAGCTAAAGAGCTGTTCACTCCAAAAAACCGGCGTTAATGGGGGAATTAAAAAGTAGGGTTACGAGAAAAGACTTCCTTAAAGTTACCAGTTTTGGAATAGCTATAAAATACTTGCTATAGAATACTTGCTCCATACTATCACTGCTACGTTGAATTTTCCTGGTGCGAAAAGATTTCCGACTCAGGTCAGATTCATGTTTTAACAAGATACTTTTTAGAGCGACGAGACTTTCAGTGTAGCACTGTAAGCAACGTGTGACCCCAGGCTCCTGCTCGACCAATATGACAATTACTGTCCACGTGACTTCTTGCGATTATCAAAAGAGCAATCTGATGCTGAGTTGCAGTAAGAGAGAACGGCGAAGCTGCTACAGAAGCAATTCCCACAACATTTTGCCAGATTTGGAATAGCTACATTAAAATGGTCTTGTGCGACATGCTTAAAGACAAATTGGCCTGAGTTTCATCACGAAGCAAGCTTTTCGCCGTAGCGCACGCAATGGTAACGTAGCGTTACGAACACGCATTAAAAACTACACGATATCGTTTCCTCTTCTCATTCAAAGGCCGACTGTCTCAAAGGTACCTAGAGATAATTTCAGGGTTAAAAAAAATTTGGTGCTTTATTTTTTGTGCGTAGGAAGCAAATATTGCTTTTGTTCTCTTAACTACAACTAAATTTTTGTAGAATTTTATCCTGCCGTCAAGCTAAGTTGAAAGAAACAAATTATGAATGATAAAATTTTCTGTAAAGTTACAAGAATATTAAAAAAATTTCCTTGAACTCGAGCTTAGCAAATGTGTTTTGAAAACCCGGCCGATTAAGTCAACTATTGAACAAAAAGTTGGATATATTTGTTTCCAGGCGGCTCCGCGCAATGTTATGTCCTCAATTGGCATAAAGATGTCTTTGCTATGTTGAGGTTAAATACGCATCATAGGTTTCGAAGATAAAAGAAATGGTCATAGGATGTCGACTAATATAACGTTCACCGCAGATACGCTGTAGGGGAACCATTAAGCTTTTTAAGATGTCCGTGCCTTTCAATTTTTCCGGAAGAACTCCCACTAAGTGAGCAAGCTAATGATCTATCGTTCTAGCCTTACGTACCTTAGCATAAAACCCTGGTGCCCCACCATTCAATTAAATAAGAGCGCGCTGCAAATTTTTGCAATTGAAAAATTGGTGTGGCCATCTTTAAATGAAAGCTTTTGACCACTATTTATGAAGTTTTTGCAACGTTTAACACAAATACACGTCTACCTATTCCTTCCAATGCATTGAGTTTATCACTCAATATCGTTGTTTACTTGCGTGAAAGAGAAACGGGAAAAAAAAACCCTCTAAAGTTCCCTCGTTCCTAATATGTGACTTGATGGCTCAGTCGGTAGTGGTGCTCAACAAGTAACCGGGAGGCATGGGTTCGAATCTCGTTGAAGCCGGTGTTTTTTTGTTTTTTTTTCTTTCAGGCTTATTTCCTACAACTGTCTGCTTATCAGCGAGGATCATGGCTTTATTTGACAAATTCAAATAAAATCTCCTTCTTGAAAGATAAGTCTCCTTAATTTCTACAGAGAAAATACAGATGTTCAAATAACACTTTCCTTGTTTGTTTTAATACAAGCAGCTGCTTGCACTTTCACAAACATAAACCAATTTTAGGATAAAAGAAAGTTGTGATCCCGCCTTCCAAATAAGGAATATGTAATGAGAATGTGGTAGCACATTGAAAATTTGACCGCCGCTTCAATATTAATGACCAATTTGGTGAACTGCCTTTGTGACTTCCTAAGCCTTTTGTAAACTATTCAAAACTAAGTGCAAAATGTATGAAATGAGACTGAATACAAATTGATTAGCAGAGTACTAATACAGCGAGGGTGAAAATAACCGAGGTAAACAAAACCCTACCATAGAATTTCTGTCAAGTTGAGCGCGCTTTAAACGAATGGGAAATCTTGGATATTATTCATCTATCATCGCACCCCGCAAACAGTTTTGAAAATATTTTCTTTTTTTCTACAGTTACCCGGTCTTGGCTTGCTCTACAATTTCCTCTTTGGGAACACAAGATCATACTCAAGCCGCAGATAGTTAATTAAATTTTCTTTTTAAAGAGCATTTTCATGCACCATTACACGTGCGTAAGCGCAGAAGCTCTTAATATATTCCGTGCACACATAAACATTTGTGAATTTTATTGCAAGCTGCAAGCTGTTGGACGAAAAAAATAGATTAACATGTAAACCAGTATTCCAAACAATAAATATAGGAAATTTGAGTTTCTACATGCGAATATTACGTCGAGGGAAATGATATTTGCTACCGGTTCGAGAGTAATTGAAAAATTTTAAACTCATTCTGGTCAAAGGAGTACCACACTTCAATAAAAATAGTGAATAATTTAGAAGAGCATTTGACAGCCTCAAGGGTTAAAACTACTCAAACGGAAGACAATTGGGCAACGAGGATTAAGCCAATTAGAATCTGAATCGGCAGGCACAAGGGGTAACTAAGTGAGATAAATTGTGAAAAGAAAACCTTAATGTTGCGGGCATACAAAGATCTTTTTTCAACATAAGGTAGGAAGGCCGGAACGAAAAGACGAGAATAAGCGCAGAAGAATGCCGCTCTCTCGCAACAACCCAAGACGAATGAATAAGGCATTAAATTGAAGACAATGACAGGAAATTCCACAAACGATGATTCTAAGTTATCTGTAGAAATTATCTTGTACATTATGCCGATCACTGGAATCATCGCCAACACATTCGCCATTCTTTCCTCTGCTAGACTGCTTCAGCTACAACCGCTTAGCCCTAATGTCTTCGTGCTTGGATTATCATGCATCGACTTGATCTCCATCACATTTTTTTGTGTTCCATCTTGGTTATTCCACATCAAAGGCGAATGGGTTGGCGGGAAGAAACTTTGCGACTTCCAGGGATTTGTCTTCCTATTTTCGACGCTTTGTTCAGCGTTCTTAGCAACTTTAATGGCGGTCGATCGCTGCATAGCCGTCACCAAACCATTTTTTCATCGCAAAACAATGACAGTAAACAAGGCAAAAGTGCTACTGTCAGGAGCTATAGCAGCGTCCTTGTTCGTCGCGTTTTTTCCCATCTTGAAATTTGGAAGCTTTATGAGAAGCTCAAGTGGCTCTTTTTGTACTTTAAACTGGTTTCCGAAAAACGCGCTTGACCGCGCGTTCTGTGCGTTTTACGCAGTTCTCGGTGGTCTACCTGCGACCGTAGTCCTATTTTGTAACATAACAGTCATCTGGGAACTGTTTAGAAACAGGAAACGGCGGGTATCGGTGACGAACATGATTCTTCCTGGAGCACGACGGATGGCACAGTTTAGAAACATCGAACGAGAGGACACCGAAATACAGTTCTCAAGAACGATGGTACTAATTTCTGTAGTGTATCTCTTTGGCTGGATTCCATTCATGGTAAGAATTTATCTAGTTGAAGTATCTTGAGCAGAGTGTCGAATCCCCCAAAAAGTTTGAAGTACCTCACATTCATAAGGCCTCAAAAACCTTTCAAATAATATGCTCTCAAGGTATGAAAATGTATAAGATTAAGTTTAAAGGTAAAGATCGGCTAAGTGAGCGATATATTGACTACCGGTTATTACGGTAATTTTTTTTTAAAAAGGAAAAAAAGAATAGAATATTTCTTAACAATAGTTTTCGATGAACGGCCAGACAAGTAATATTTACAACCCGATTAAATATGTTCTGCCCTTTGTTTACTTTGAATTCTTCAAAAATACCTTATAAATTCGTGCTATTATCGATTTGATTACTCCAAAATTGACTGAGAAAAAAAGGTGTTTGAAAAGGATGAGGCGAGCTTAAAATTTCGTTTGGAAGCTGTCCATGACAAAAGGCCTGCGAAGCAACGCACAAAAATAACGTTATGGCTTTTGGAAAAAAAACAACAACAACAAAGAAAAACAAAGCAGAGATCGAATATCTTCTGTTAACTTATGAAATATTGACATTTACCTAGGACTGACAGAAGGAACACCACTGTCATTGAAGAATTCTTGATAAGTTTTAAACGTCTCTATTATTCAATCGGCTCGATCAATCAGCATTCAATTTTCTAAACTTTCTTTAAATTTAAAAACAGAAAAACATATGCGAATAGATTCATGACCACGTACTAGCAAACCTTATGTTCGCATGACGTAACGTTTCAATGGCAACCACGTTTGGATTGACAAATTGGCCAAATTAAAAACCCCTTGTAAATCCACTTTTGGTTCGAAAGCATTGATGGTAGGTTTTTTTTGCTGCCAAAAATATCCTTCCATTACGATTACTAACTTGTAAGCCAAATTCATTTCAATGAATGATCGGACGCTGAATTTTTTTGCCACTTTTCGCTTCATAGCGCCAAAAATTAATTCACACTACCGGATGAAATAATTTATTTTTGTTTACTTTCAAGTTTTTTAAATATTCTGCCTGAATGTTTAACTTTAATTTAGATTTGATCACTCCAGAATTTATTTATGAAAAGAAGACGTCCAGTTCACCGAAAGTTAAAAGAGAAACTGAAAATATTGGGGCAATACTTGCTCATGACGATAAAAGCGTTCGCTATCAAATCGATTCTTTTTTCAACCAAAACCTTTTTTTAACTCTAATACTAACTCTACAAAGATTGGTGAGAGAGGAACACTTGTTTAGTGAACCCGTTAGGAAAATTTTTAAGCCTGTACCTTTGGAGTCCGTCGGAGCAATCGGCATCGTATCAAAATCAAAATCAATCGTGAAGACAATCTTGTCAACTCAAAGGTAAACTTATGTCTGCAAGAAATGAGGTTTCCTGGATAACTAGGTTTCGAAAGCTCACTCGAATTAGTCACATAATTCATTCCTTTTATATCTTCCTTTTCTTCGAGAGAACTGATAAGTAGTACTAAAAACGTCGATTCAATGTAATTCTCATGAGCTCTCTTCATTCTGAACAGTTCAGGAATCACCCCCTATGGTCGGGTCTGCCGAAGAACATTATTTGCTTTTCATCCACCAATATTTCCGACCTCTACGCCTGGTTTTGACTGATTGTGTTATAAATAATAACAGAGAATAACAGAGCCCAGAAGCATGTATAACTCTTCAACGAACTTATTTTATTCTTAGCCAATCAGATGATTAAAATAGACCGATGTGAACACCCTCGTTCGCAAAATTTCCCGCGCTTTTTCATCGAAAACCAAGCTTTGCTGCAAATCGTGATTGGTTCGTTGCACGATTCATCATCACCGTGATTGGTCTTAAGTCAGCCTCCGTTTTAGTCTCATGAAAGCCTTCTGGAACCCTAGAATACTGGTCATTTCTGAAAATCCGCCTTAATTTTTCAGGTCCGTCTAATAGGGAACGCTTTTTACCACTGGGAAAACAGCACTGCAGATCTTCTTGTCTGCTCGTTTCTTCTGCTAAACTTCATCGCTGACCCTTTTATGTATGTCCTTACACGAAAACAATATCGTCAAGTACTTAAGATGATGTTATTGTGTCGATGCAAAGGAAGGCTAAACAATCGTGTTTTTCCCATCACCGGTCACAGGTAAGAAAACTTCCAGTTGAAGGAACTGACCAACACAGCGGTCAAACGTAGTGCATGCGCAAAGGGGATCAATTTTGGCCGGCTGCACGCCAATTTCCCGCGCAAAATTTCATAAGAAAACATAAGACACAACCGCTGTCACGCTAAACATGCGAAAAAATCATTGACACGTTCATATAAATTTGTAAAGGGAAACACAAGTTGGAAAAAGGAAAACTCGAGACCTTTTGCTGCTAACAAGGAGGATTTTTTTCCACTATTTTCTTGACCTTAATGTATGATTAAGAGGCGATACTTCAAAGGGAAATCAGATGGTAGTCAATCTTAGAGGCTCAACCTTTCAGCTCATCTTCTCGAAGCGAAGCGGTCAACTACTAACAACAGATAAAAGTTGATGGTAATATAATATTTCTACCCCAGAGTGTGTGCTATTCGAAAAATTCCACGATTTGTCCGAATCATGCGCTAACATAGCCCAAAATCATCGGTTTATAACGTGCAAAAAGATTCAAGTTGAGAGGCTAATCTCAGAACCGCTTGATCGAATTATGACGAACCTCACTTCAATTTGTAAAAAAGCAAACTAACCCTACCCCAGACGTTATGCCATTCATAATTGAGAGAAGAGAACCTAGATAGGTCTCGCTTCTTTTTCTTTTTTGCGATGAAAAGTTGTAGACATTCTTTTTGCATCATACGAATCTTTCCCCGACTCTTTCGGGGTATTTGTATACGTTCAACTGCTAAAGGTGATATGTTTCAATATTTGCCCTCTTATTTCAGTCAACATCCCAGCATATCATCAGCGAGTCTGCAAGCCCTTTGTTTCTCAGCAAATGAACAGCAGCTGAAACAACTACGGGAGATATTGAAGAGTGCCTCACCACATCCATCCAGAATGGAAGACAGAGATAAACAGAAAGACAAGACCAGTTGTCTTGAATCCACTCAGCCGCTAGGAAATACAGGAAACCTTCCTCAACAAACCGAATGCTTCTAGCGTGGTTGTTCCCTTACCTCAGTGCTTGGTCGCAAAAGCGGGTGAAAAATTGTCTCTCCTCCCTCATTCACCAGAAAAGCGTACACCGATCCCCACTGGTCGTTCAACAGGATGTTCTCAATCTCTTCCAGTGTGGCATCAATTCCAACCACACCTATAGTCCTAGGATGAGACAATAATAACTCGACTTAAATCCTTGATTCAAAAAAAAGGCAGCGAAATGAGTCCCAGATAAAATCAGAGACAATCCGTTTGGAGAGCTGAAACCATAATTTCTTCCTATTCCAACGTGGTACGCGTTCAGAAATTGAAACTGGCTTCGGAAGTAAAGGAGCGTACTTCGGTACGCCCGGCTACGGCTTGTGCTATTTCGAAATTTCGAAAACTTAACAACGATCTTGTTTGCAGTTGCTTGTTTTATTATCTGCTTGCTTGCTTGTCTGAGATAGAACTTTGTAAAGACATAAAGAACAAATTTTAACTTTTACTAGTTTGAAGCCTACAGTAGGCTAGCAAGACTTGCCAAGTATGACCTAACCGGGCGTGACAAAACCAAAAGTGACTGGCTTTGCGTGACCCAATAGGCCGTGACAAAGCCAAAAATGACTCAGCGATGCGTCACTGAAATTGTTGAGAAAAGTAGGAAATTCTAATAAAAATAATGAAAAAAAATTAATAAAGTACAGTTCTATTCATAGAAAATTTTGTTCATAACCGCTCGCAACTGCACAAGCGAAATCCAAGCGTGACTCACTTATTCGTGACTTTGCTGATGACCGGTATTGCCACCGTGACCATGAGTCCCAGGCCCGACGCGTCCAGATAAGGAGACGTCCACGTGACATTACTAATGCTTATTGTATTGGACGCCAAGAAGCTGTAGTAATCCTGCATTTGTGATATGATGTTCTCTTCGTCTGTTAGCTTCTTCATAAAGCCCTCATTGTCGCAAGCTAGCTTTCCTGGGAATTCTTCGCCATCGTCTGCGGTCAAATACGAAAAGATCCGAGTCTTGAACAAAACAAAAGAAAAGACCATCAGGTGAAAAAGTTAATTCAAATCTCATATGAAATCAAGAAATTCAGGAGGAACAGAAATGCCATAGGGAAATGCTACATAAGCAAACAGAGACGATTAAAACAGACTGCATTAAGGAAAATTGCGTGACATGCCTTAAAAAAGTGTAAGCTCACAACCATTTTTGATGCCAACTAAAGAATTTTAAAATTAGATTCAAAACTTAGTACCAAACCCGTCCAACAAATTTCTTACCCTGGGAATCATATATCTATTCTTAGCCAGTACTTCATCCCACACATCATTCCAGTCATATTTGCATATCTGCCCTGGAACGTAACCGCTCCTAGTGTAGTAACCTGGGCCACAGCGTACAGGGTCCCCATCATTATCCACTCCATCTGTAGCGAAAACAATGATGCTCTGGCAGCCGGTTCTGGCTGCTCCTTGCAGCAATTCGAATGCCAACTTGAAAGATTTTCTGTTGAAGGAAGGCGTGAAACTATTGTGAGATACTTTGTTGTGACCGAAAAGTTTCCAAAACAGCCATAGAATATGACCTCTCTTGAGAATAAACCATATAAAAGGCGTTTTTCCCTCGATGATTTTCCTTTGCATCAAAAAATGGAAATAACGATGTATTAAACCTCAAGTAGTGATTAACATGTAGCATCTCCCTATAATATCCATAAATCATCGAGCAAACAGGTAATGAGAACATTCAAACTTATCAGGTAGAGGTTGTCATCTTGATCTAACACCAATTCTCGTAACCAATTTACACGGAAAAGTGTAGCAGCTAGAGGAGAGAATTGAAAATCAGATCTTGGGTGTTTTAGGATTAACTTGAGCCCTCCCTCTGATATGATATCTCATATGTTCACATCTGAGAAGCAACAGCAAACAGCGCAAAGCAACGTGCGTTTCTAAACTAAACTAAACTTCGTTAAACTACCCATCGTTCCAAATCTGCGCGCAACGTAAAATCACATGCCATACAAAAGTGTCCATGGAGCTATGTTAAATTAAACACTGACCCTCGCTAACATGACGGTCGCTTGAAAATGATGGCGCGGAAGGCCTACGAATATCCGTATTTGTCTCAAAGAGAAAATAAAAAAATCCAAATGATACACATATTATTTACCAGGCAGGAGCTCCGTATTGGAAAAACCTGTGCCCGAGGTCTTAACTCTTTATAGCCTTACATAAGTATGCATATTCTTCATACTGTTCTCTATATGTTTCCTCAGGTGCTGACAAGGAGAATTTGGTTAGCAATGTAGAGCTTCTTTAGTTGGTGATCAGTTCATTTATTCTCATGACCTCAAAATTTGATTCAGGGGTGACATTGTAAGGAGAAATTAGACCCTAGTCACTCTTAGGAGTTAAAAGGTTAAGGACCGAACGGCTTTCTTCGCGGGACACGCTCACGCCAACATGTCCGAAACTAAACATTTCGAGACCGATTCCGAGAACACCTTAGCGACATGGAAAGAAATGACAAGGACGTATCCAAACCAGTCACTAGACACATTAATCTCTCTATGGCATATGGCAGTTTGCAGCCTTTCCCTGCATCTAGGCAGTTCGGAAAGCCGCAAAACTCTAGAACAAAAATTTATCTACCAAATCGGCACTCTTAATCGCCACGGTATCAACAAGCGCTTCTCATTCAACTTATTTATTCTTGTATTCCGTCAACATATTCCCACCAATAGCGTAGCTCCATTTTCTGTTCCATTTAAACTCATTACGGTGGCCAATTTCCGTTATCAACTCAGTTGATAACACTAAATTACCCTTCTATACTCTCCCACCCACGAAGCGCCACAGTTTCTTTAGAAACGTACCCCCTTTATTCGAAACTACACAGGTTAGCTTTCATTACGGTTTTCTATGGGCTTGTGCATGGGTAATTTGGAAAGTAAATACTTTGACTGCCTCATTAGTTCTGAAGATCTGAAGCGCCGGCTATCTTACTTGAGTTCACTTGTTCCACCAGCCCTCAGGTTATCAATCTTTTCAATTAAGTCCTTCCGGTGAGAAGTGGACGCTGGTACCAGTCGATTTTGTTGGCAGCTAAGTACTTCTGTCTTGTACTCAAACCACCTGATAAGAAAAAAAAGACATTGACCTTGAGTGCCTATGCTTCTATAGGCATGTAGGTATTACTCCTTCCTCTTTCAGTATCCTATATTAGTTTATTGCATCTCTCGTCTGGTTGCTATGAATTTTCATCAAACCAGCCAGGACCAAGATATGCAGAATGTTACTTTGAGATAAGCAAAAATTTGTAAAGTGTCTCATCCATGAAAAAAGATGCAATCAATACTTCCTCCATCCCACCTACCTCAACCACCTAATTTTCCACAGTTATCACTTCACAGAGTTGTTTGAAAAATCTACTCACTTTCCTACTTCATCCCAGTGACTCTCGTGTCCACAGATAACATTGACATAATCTTGTTTAGTCAGAGTGTTCAATACTGTCTTTGCTACTTGTTTGGCCATGTGAAATTTCTTTCCCGCCATGGACAAGCTGCAATCCAGGATAATGACAATGTCCTTAGGGCCTGACGTGGCACCAATATACCACGGCCTCAATCTGGGGTCGTAATCTATGTGGAACCCAGCAAAGTTTAAGGACCATTCTCGGGTTGGGTACGTTCTGACGAAGCCCTCTATTGAACCAAAATTCTGCCACCTGCCAAACACAATGCCAGGATATTTTCAAATTTACATGTGGGTTGCAGTAAAAGTAAAAATAACAATAAAATAATTTTTAACAAAGAAGTAGATATTTAATAAAATAAGTTGCTGGCAGCTCTGCACAGATTTGAGGGAAGAACCCAAACATCTTTCTTAGACAAATGATATGATAAGATATTTATCACTGAGGATAACACTAAACTTGTGGCCCTCAATTTCAAATAAATTGGAAACAAACATTATAAATAAACATAAACAAAGCATCTTACCCTTTACAAAAAAAATAAAACTCTCACAGATTTGGATGTATTGGACCTTTAACCCTTTAACTCCCAAGATCTGATTGTAAATTCTCCCTTCTAGCTGCTACTCCTTTCCTAGTGAATTAGTCATGGGAATTTGGTGTAGATCAAGACAACAAGTTCTTCCTAATAGGTTTAAGTATTCTTATTACCTGTTTGCTGAATAATTTATTTGCGTGGAGGTACATGTCTATCTCTTCTGGGAATTAAAGGGTTAAGATAGCCTTTTACTGACTTAAATAGCTGTATAGCTAATAGTACAAAACCACACAACAAACACACCTTAATTCTGGATCACTTTTTGAATTTTCCTTAAACACTTTATCCAGAAGTGATGACCAAAACACAGCTTCAATCAGCTTGGGGTTGCTTCTGGCAACCTGATCAGATATCTTCACAGAGCTCCTGCTTTTACTCACTTTCTGCTTAAATAACCTATGAGTTAAATGGCCGGTTTAAGATTTAGTCACCAGTAGTAATCTATACTTGAGATTCAATGTTTGAAAAGGATAGGTGACAAATTTATATCCTATTAACCCTAACCAGTTCTCCAGATTCTTGGTAAAAAGAGGCATTATTTTTAGGGATGTTTAAGCCCCAAAGAAGTAGAGGACATTCCTCCATTTTGGAGTGAAAGAAATTTACAGGGAAAATATTTGTAAAGAAATGGAAGTGGCAGTGCCTTTGAAAAACTATTTAACACTTTCCCTCCCAAAGTTGACCAAATAGAAATTTTTCAATACAATATCAACAAATTTTAAAATTAATTGAGTGATGAGAAAAAAGAAAGACGTCAAATAGAAATTATGGTTTGATTTAACACCAAATTCTCCAGACTGAATCACAATTTTAATTGACAGCTTATGATATGGAAAATTCATATGTACATCTTGGGATTGACAGGGTCAATACAGGTTTCACTGTTCATAAATTTGGGACAAGGAAGCAATGGAATTGAGGAGTGTACTTTGCAGCCTATATCATAATTTGAAGTTTCCTTCAATATCAGCATAAGTACCCAGAAGCTATATTCCTCACAGCCTGTTTGTTTACCATAAAATTAACTTCATTTCAGTACTGGCTAACTAACATTAAGTAAATTTCAAGAAATATTAGACCATCCCAAAATAAATTGTGTTGAACAATGCATCTAAAGCTAAGAATGAGCTTTTGAGAGGGAGTACCTAACACTTGATGTGCTTCACTTCCCAAATATTAAGGGCTTTGCCACTATTGAGGACACACTGGTCAGATTGCAGTAGTTACTTACGTATTGAATTCCAGATCTTTAGGCAGAGTATCCACAAGATCTGAGTCAGAGTAGAATTTGTCGCCAAGCTCTTGTAGAGTTGACACCTTTGCCATTTTTTGTAGAGTTTCATTGGTGTAAAATTCATCATGAAGTCTGGCAACTTCTTCTGCAACTTTCTACCATAGTTGAAAATAATCGCAAAGGGAAATGGTTACATATATAAATTGTTAAGGTTTACAACTTTCTGTTAAGTACATGTTGGTCCATTAAAAACAATTTTGCTTTTTTTTCCCTTAATTTGCATTCTTCCCACAACTAGCCTTTACTCATCAATTTTGTTCCAACATAATAAATGTGCATGTTGAAATACATTTGTTACTGGTAATTTGCTTTGCTGACAATTTGGATTTTTTTATCTTGATCCATCATCTGAAGGATGATCCTCCAAACCAAAAAATATAGATTTTCCAAGCAGGGTTATGCAGGGAATCTACTTTCATATGACAAATGCTGCCCTGTTTGTGCTTTGATTCAAAAACAAAAAACAAAGAGACCCATACATGGGCTGTACTCAGTGGCTGTACTCACTGTACAGCCCACAAGCTGAAAGCTAAAATAGAAAAGAGGGTCCTACATGAATAATAAAATGCTTAGTGACTAAATTGGTCCAGCTGGGAGAATAAATATTTGGCTCTCACTCATGGAGCATGGACCTTGCTGTACTCTGTCTGTATGTTATGATCTCAAAATGAATAATTTCCTTGCGGGACAACATTTTTTTAAAAGCAGTATTTGTATGTTAAAACTGCTAGACATCAGCCATATTTTTTTTTTAAGAAAAAAAGAATCTCAAAATTGCCTCAGGCAGCTGTCCGGAGATTTCTATCAATGTAATCAAAATGGCCAGATAAGATAGGTGACCTTTGCATAATTTAAATTAATTCAATTCAGCTAATAATGGAACAGAAGAGAATTAGCGACGAAAAAATAACAACAGTACGAAAAAATAACGAACCTAGCGTCAACGCAACGGTAGTCCAAACAAATGTGAAGAACAAAAACAACAATTGTGACAGCATTTTTGCTGAATATTTCATGATCATAACAGTTGGTTTTGGGAGAGAGCTTAATAAGAGCAACTCACTGATCAAGTTTAAATTTTAATCGCGGCCTCAATGCCGCAATAAAAAATTATTCTTACATACCCTGGCCGCATTTTCTTTTTTAACGAAGTAGTTTCCTAGCCGTGATTTCACAGAGTTCACAGTATCGAATCCACTTTTTTCTTCCACTGTGTAATTTGCGTTGTCGTACAACTTCTGTAGCTCGCGCGTTTTTAGGCCTTCCTCGGCAAGTTTTAGGAGATAGCTCTCCACTAGCGCAGACCAGTTCTTCACAATATCATTATTTAGACGTTCTGCGACAACAAGCAACGGTAGTTCGTAGGTAACCACGAAAAATAATACCAAAACGCTGGTGTAATTGATCCTCATGGTTCTTGAGTTAAAACGCGCGGCATCCGAGATTGGAGGGAGTCCACTTCACCACCGGAAGAATTTCTAAAATGTCCTCATAAAAGGAATTGTTAAAATAAAGCAAGGGTAAAATCCAAAATAAGCCCAACGCGATCCTTTTTCGTCAACACAGATGTTCCAAGATTTAAATAATACTGCTCCCAATCGAGCGTAACAGTGAACTGTTGATGTTGCGGGTGATTAACTGTAGAAATAATCTGATTTTGAGACAAAATCTCCCCAGTGATTCTCTTTCAAGACGTGAACTGCGATAATAATACCACGGAGCGCAGAGGCCAAGGTTAATCAACTCCGCAAGTCCAAAGAAAGGCACAAACACAACCGCCTGATTGTGCAAATATGCAAATGTAGATTACTGCGTGACACCTGAAACCAGGGAAGGTCACGAGACCGAAGATAAGCCTCAGAGATCCCCAGCTGGGAACGAAGGTGAGTAAAACGAGAGGCCACCTTGATTTTTAAGATGCAGAAATGTTGATCTCGCAAAAATTCTTAGCTTTCCTTTATTGTTTTTCAAATTTGATGCCCTGCAAGATAAGTACTGCAATATCTAGTTGAAAAACAAATGCAACTGAAATTTTGTAACCTCTTGACAAACATCATTTATGAGATACGTTTTCGTTCGTGCCATAAATTCTGCCTTCTGCTCATATGATCAGTGGCGTAATTCATGCTCATACTGCCGAGATAATTCAACTGGTCACCGAGGTGGACAAAGCAGATATTCTCATTGAAATCCTCGCTTGCAGAACAAGCTTTCCCAATTTTTTTCTTTTGTTTGTTTTCAGGGGACTGAAATGCAAAGGCGAGAAAGGCATGAGAAGCAGGACACCCGCTCGCCTCACCCTTGCAACCTCTTGCTTGAAAAGTACAAACTCACCAAAAAACATTCGGGAGCCATGATCTTAGGCTCATAACCGAGTTTATGTCGGCAACGAGGGCAGCAAACCTTCTCCTTTCAACACATGGAAGTTTTACGAAGAAAAGAGAGGCGGGAACAGTCGACTTGGTTCTTGGGGACCCCTTCCGTTTCCAGCCCCCGTTGAACGAGAGCGAGAGAGAGAGAGGTAGGGAGAGTGGGGAAAGGAGAGCCCCAAGAAAGAGAATATGGGGGGGAGAGACATAGTAAACCACCTGTTCGATCAACCAACAGTCTTTGCAATAGGTGAAAAGAAATGACTCGCACACTTTCTGGACAACGGGTAATTCCACGCTTTGCTCCCGCAATGGGTCACTCGTATGCATGCAGTTATCTAAGAAGCTAAGTTGACCTCAAGCTAGCATATTAATGTAGACACACCAAGGGGAGATGTAGCGACAACAGAAAAAATAGTTATTTATACAGTTGAGTGTTGAGAAAAAAGCAACAGGAGCGAAAATTATATGAGTTTGGGAGAAATTTTGCTAGAACATTCAATTAGTTTTACTTAACGCCTGAGAGGAGCACAAGACACCTATTCCCCCCACCCTCCCACCCTTTCCACTCGAACAGTATGCGAGTCTGGAGGGGTTCAACATGATTGTGCTGGTTCAACTGAAAATCGCTACCGGATATTGCCCCCTCCCCCTCCACCCTGTCCGAAGGATGACGTTCCAAACAAAGACTAAAGTGGATAATTTCAATGCCCTTAATGTCGTTAAATTTGACGAAACCTAATACAAGAAAATACTCTTTCATGTTACGTGGAACATACATCAATAGTTTTAAGTTACCATTTTACGGGTTGCCATTATTGTTGGTTAGGTACACGAGACGACGTTTGAACTAAAAGAGAGTAAAAAGGGAGTATTTACACAAGGAGAAACAGCAAAAAAACTGTCGGCGATAAAAGCCATAGGAAGAAAAGAAACATTGTTGAATTGTTGAAAAGTCGTGTCAAATTAGACACCTAGTCGTTTCTTAATTCCTATGACTTCCGGCGAATCAGCGGACAGAAGAGTAAGACCACGCCCATAACAGGTGCCCCTATGGATGCACAATTCGACATAAGGCCTTACAACGTCCACCACACTGCAAACAGACCCGCCTTGCTTCAGGATCTGGGAATGCAAGTTATGAAGGATGACATAGTTCCCCTTTCTTGCAAGAAGCCGCGCAACTTCGGCGTAAGCGCCGTAAAGGAAGACAGAGATGACATCGCCGTCCTTCGCCGAGCGGTGGTTATCTGGAGGCTCTACCACGTTGTACTCATCGCCAGTGCCCTCTCGGATGTCACATTTCGGATGGGTACCGTCAGTGACAAAGAGTACCACACAGTCCAGGGTACGATGTAATGCAACACCAAGGACCTGGCCGACTAAGTCGAAGTAACAGTCTGGGTTAATTTCCGTAACAGGAATGAAGTTAGTTAGCGGAAAGATGGCCGGATTGCAGTCACACCATTCTATTAGGCACTGGATGGTGTCCTTATCCTCTTTTGATAGCGAGAAGGTAGAGCTTGAGACCCTCGCCATTTCTGCTGTCACTGGTACCTCGCTATCCCGGTCAAAGACAATCGCCGCAAATCCACGGGATGACATCGCTTGAAGCTTTTCCTGGTACTGCGAGATCTTGATGCGGTGCAATCGCACGATATCTCCCACCTTGTGAACGGCAGGCAGGCGACTGATGGTCTGCTGGAAGAAGACACATTCAAGGCCAAAGGTGGAATCAACTACCGTAGGATCCGTTATCATCAGAACAGAGCACATGTCGGTGCCTCGGCACTTCCAGGCCGGTTTGAAAGATTTCACCACTCCATAGATGTTCACAACAGTTTCAGGCTTTAGATTAGCTAAGGTAGTATAACCTTGAGGAACAGTGTAGTCAGCGGCCTCTCTAGAGGACTTCTCCTTGGCACGCTCGCCCTCACGTGGACTGCCAAGTTGGTCACGGGAAGACAACTGACTGGAAGGTCCAGGAGAAGCTCTCAGTCGCTTGACATCAAGGACTGGGTTAGGAGAAGATCTCTTCACTCCACCTTTGGGTAAGGAAAGAACTCACTTTAAAACCCTTTAACTCCAATGGGTGACCACAACAGAATCTCTCCTAACAATACCAATACAGTATCAAACAGACAAGTGATGAAATAAAGAAAAGTATCAATTAGGGGATTACTAGTTTACTAGTAATTACCAAATTCTCCAAACTAACAGCATAAGACTTGTATGGCAGAAAGTAAGGGGAATAACTAATGAGATCTTAAGAGTGAAAGGGTTAAAACCTTTGCTTCTCTTCATAGTAATTATGATTGAGTAACTTTATAGTCAACATTAGCTACATTAGCTCTTGTTTTTCATTTTTAGGGCTGTGTTACATCACAGCTGTATGCCACAAGAGGCAAAGAGAGAAACTTCTAGAAAAGAAGTGAAATGGTTTTAATCGTTCTGCCTATGAACTTGGAATGAGACTCATAATCCATCAGAGAAGTCTCTTTTAACCCTTTGAGCCCTAAGAGTGACCAGCATCTAATTTCTCCTTACAATATCACCCCTGAATCACACATTGAGGGCATGAGAATGAAGGAAATGATCACCAACTGAAGAAGCTCTTGATCATCAAACAAATTCTCCCTGTCAGCACCTTAGGAAATGTACAGAGAAGAGTATGTAGCGAATATGCATACTGATGTTTGGGTGTAAAGGCCACTTCAGTAGGTGTGGGCCACTAACCTTGATCATTAGATCCCTGGTCAGCCAACAGACTTGCCACTGGGGTGTAGTCTTCAGGAATCAAACTCCTTGTACTGGTAGAGAATGTCTCATCTTCATTGATTGCAGCAACATGGTGCAGAATCTCACCAGGAATGCCAGGTCTTCTGTTCAGCCTATAGATAAAAGCAGGCATTAACGGTCATTGTAGATTAAGGCAGTCATCCAACGAAGTTTACATGGTCAGCATGGAATTTGAACCAGAAAAATAAAGCAAACAATTAAAAAGATCATTTAGGGGATGTACAAGATTAGTGGTTTGCTTCGTGAGCCATCATTGCAAAAAGCTGAAACAGGAGTATTGCTCCTTTTCCTAAACAAAACACAAGTCCATAGAAGAAACAAGTGACCCCCCCCCTCTGTTGCTAATCATAAATTTGTCTCATCACTCTAATGCCACACAGATAGCACTGTACATTTTCTTTATATGTACAGCTCTATAGTCATTTTTGTTGGGGCATTCAGTTTGTGTATTTTACTTTCATATAGATCCATGTATATTAACATATTCAGAATGTTTATACAAGCCCTCATTTAAACCAACTTTAAGCTAAACTGGTCCCGCCTGTTGAAATTTTTTTCACATTGAATAGATATATAAATAAACACATAGACAATTTGCTGGTACTCATTTGTAGTCTAAACCATTTGTGGTAGCCACTTTTCTCTGCTGAGAGATCGTGGGATTTAAGTATCTTTCTAAAGACCAAGATGACCAAAGCTTCAATCATGACTCCTTCAATCAGAGTCTTGCACACTAGCCAAACACCTGTGACATCTCCCATATGAGAGAGAAGGTTAACAAAACTTCCCTAAATTTCATTTAACACATGGCAAGTATTGACTCTTCAAGAATTAACCAAGGTCCAGCCCTCTAAAGATAATTATCTGACTCAACTGAAACAAAATCAATAAGACTGTTAATGAGAACTTAACAAAACACAATGCACAGTGAGCCTCAATTTGGGAAAAAGTTGGAAGCAGACCATTACCACCAGTTTAGAGAGGGACATTTTCTAAACAAATCATGGTGCATGTCGCAGCAAAATCAATCTGTGGAATCAAACATCAAAAAATTTTTCTTTTTAAGAAACTTTGAAATCCAATTTTAACTAAAAAATCAAACATCTAACCCTTTTGCAGGACTTCTTTGGTTGGCAACAGAATAAGTTGAAGATGATCTTCTACGGGCTGATAAAAAAACCTGATCCTCTTGTTCAAAGTCGGGCATAAGCATATCTTCGTTGGACATTTGCTGTGCCTCATCTATAAAACAAGAGTTACTTCTTTTGTCTAAGTGGAACAAATAATGATCTTTCCATGAATAAGTAATAGAGGAGGCAATTGCTTGGTCAAAAGTTTGGCTAAACAGGGGGGGGAGGGGGGTTGGGCAGCTACAGTATTTGTAATGACCAATTGTAATTACAACTGTAGAAGTTTGCTGATCAAATCTTCATACACATGTAAATATATAACAATTAAACTATATATCAGATCCAAAGAGAAACTGTTCACTACCTTTTAAAGAGCAATGCTAGGTTGGTTACCTCTTGAACGATTAAAACTATGGTGACAAAGTAGGTGAAACAATGCCATTTGCATTGTTCTTTCTTAGCAGTCTCATATTAAAGGCCTTGTTTTCATTTATCCCTTCTGTGCATTTGAGAATCATTATGTAATAATTATCACACACACTGCTATCACAGCATCTGTAAAAAAGGTTAACCCTTTAACTCCCATATCAAATTTGTTATTCTACTTACCATCAACCATACAATTATTATAACGTTAGTTCAGAGAATTCAGTATTGAATCAACTAATTATCCTCAAATGGATATTTTTCTTTATTCTCATTGCTTATCTGGTTGATATTGTATTGATATTGTAAGGAGAAATTCTGTCTTGGTCACTCATGGAAGTTAAAGGGTTAGTACTCTTTAAAAAGCACAAAGAAAATTCCCTGACCTCTGCAAGGACCTACTTGAAGTTTTCCATGAAAAAGATGCTTCAGAAGCAATGTGAAAATGATCAGTGGCATGAAATTTTTTGCATCTTTCTCAAAATATCAATTTCATTCATTTTTCTATCTTCTGTGACCTTTTTCTCATCTATATACCCCCACTGATCTATTGACCACCAGATAAATGCCTTGCATTGTGCAGGATACCAAGCTACACTGTACAGCTTACGAAAGCAGAGATGCTCAGAGCTGTTACCTGTTTTCTGCTGTGCATTAACCTTATCCTTAACCTGGTAGTTCCCTTCAGCAGTGACATCGCTCTCAACAATTGATAGAGCACTAGCTTCTGGAGCCTTCAGTTGCAGCAAATCACTTGGCACTGTGCTTGTTTGAGACTGATCTCTCATTTGCCCAGCCTTCATACTACCCTCACAAATTCTTGTTGATACTCCTGCTGGTGACAACTCAGTGTGAGCACACTGCCCATTGGATGGTTTATTTGGACTGCCATTTTGTATGCTGAGGCTTAAATGTTCAACACCACCTATCTCATCTTTCTGACTTAAACGTTTTATCACTTCAGATTTGTCTATTACAACAACAGCATCACTAACTTTCCTCATTACATGTGATTTTGAAGGTGTGACTCCCTTGGGGCCAAGATGAAATTTCCCTTTCCTCTTTTCAAATATCTTTTGTTTGCTTCTCCTTCTACCCTCTTCACCAGTGGATGTCTTCTTTACAATGTAAAACCCTGGCTCTGATGTTTCCTGCACAGCAGTTTCTTCTTCATCAGTGTCAGCACTACATGTAAGATTTTTTCCATCTTCTGCATTGTTCACTTGAGTTTTTTCATTACCACTTGTATTATTAACTCTCACATTTCCCTTGTTATTTATCACCCAAATTGATGCCTGAGATTTTTCTCGCCAAGCAATGAGCTGATATAGGTGTTCATCAGTGGGAGAACATTCTACAACAACCTCTGACAAGACCACACGATCACCCTCTTTAATTCTATCACCTTCATCAGCCAGATCTCCTAACAGGAAAGCATTAATTGTGGCACAAGTTGACCTTAGACTTCGCTTTTCCAAATCTTCCCGCAAAACAATCTTACACAGCTTGCCATACCTCTCTGAACTTTTTATAGGGAAAACTTGTCCTACAACTCCTGCAAGAAAAAGAGATGATCGTATGATAAGCTGAATTACATAGTATACACACATTTTGATAGGTTCTTATTAACCTTTTAACTTCCAGATCAAACTTGTAACTCTCTTTACTGTCAACCATACAATTCTCATAACTTTAGTTCAGAGAATTTAGTAATGGATCAATCAATTATCCACAAGTAGATACTTTCTTTACTCTCATCACTTTTCTGGTTGATATTGTATTGATATTGTAAGGAGAAATTCTGTCTTGGTAACTCATGGGAGTTAAAAGGTTAATGATCTATGGGAAGACAGATACATAGATGATGTTTCCATTAAAAACATTAACTTTTTTTTATTTAGTATACACGAAATAAATTCCATATTTCCACGAGTCAGGATAGAAATAGATCACAAATGATAAGATCATCAGCTCAGTGTGCTTATGTGCCACTTTGTTCTTACCAAATTTTGATGGCGTCTTTGACTTATAACTGAACAGACACGCAGCAACAAGGAATCTATTTATCAAATAGGTTCTTATTTTCTCGACTTGTAAAGCGTCTGGTGCATGTTTCTCATGTTTCTCCCACTTCCTATCCGGCTTGCTAGCTCAGTTGGTAAAGCGCTGTACCGGTATCGTCATGGGTTCAAATCCCGTACGGACCTGAATTTTTTACCACGTAAGTAGTGTTCATAACCACGAGGATCGCTTCCGTATTCAAATTGTTTATCCTTTTAATTTCGAGTTGGTATTTTTCATAAAGAGAATCTCGAAAATTGCGGTTGCGCGATATGCATTTTATGGGATATGATTGTAGTGTACTGTTTTCCAAAGGCTACTGCACTGATAATAGTTGTTTCCTTTAAGTTTAAAGACGGTCGTTTTCAAAGAAAACCCATCGAGGAAGAAAAAGTAACAAATTAACATATGATAATAAAACTCGACATCGAAAACTTGCACAAACCTTGGATAAATGAACTTGACAGCAATCCTGGCTCGTTCAGTTCTCCAATGAGCAAGCGTTTTGGCGCGGAATTGCCACGAAAAAGTTTGTAATATCTTCCATTTCCGATTGCGACGGCCATGTTAGTTCACATCGCACATCAAATCAAAAATGGCTTCCTTTTCCCGCCAAATGACGCTATCGAGTCGAAACATCTTCGGAGATGACGAAAGAAGTCGATAATTTAGTGACGTAGCGAAAAATGCCTTATTGAGAAATACGAACGTAAATGTCATGTGATTTAGGATGACGTCAGGGTTCCAAACATAGTCTTGGTTCGTCTTATATGTAGCTAAGTCCGAAAGCCGCCACATTTCAGCTGGAGCGTAAAACGAACGTTTTTTTATCATCGTTAATTCCCTATTACAAATAAGAATCTTTCAAGATGTCTCTGTATCCGTCTCTAGAAGATATGAAGGTTGATCAGATGGCTCAAGCACAGGTAATTTTAGTTTTAGACGTAAATTCCCGATAAAATTGTACCGGTATGATTTCTGAAATTTGCGAGGCTCTCGAAGGTATTTTAAAGCGATCGACAGTCGTTGGTTTCCTTGATGTGTGGAAGCTTTATTTTGACATTTATACGAATGAACGATAAACCTCAGCCTTCTTAGATGTTATGTTACTTCAACAGTCCATCAATCCTATCAAAACTGGCAATTGCTTTGTAACTTTTAGAATTAGTTTTCCTTCCTGAATTTCGACTTCAGAAGGTTTCTTCCCTAGCTCATTGCAAAATAATTTGTCACGTAAAAGACTGCAGGGTAGTCAGCTTCAGTATTTCAGGAGATCTGATGTATTTTCTCTTGCTAGCTTTTAATGAACGATCAGGAAAGTAATATACCTAAGAAATCATGTAATCTTTTTTTTTTCTGTCTTGTTCTCGCACAGGCTCAGCAAGCTCGCCCACAACAGCCTGCCCTTGGTTACCAAGTAAGTGATAACCGATTTTCTTGACATCAACCACAAAATTTTTCACCCATTAGTATATTTAAAGTACTTATTAAATTCTATAGGTGTAAAAACTCAGCCATACTTGTTTGTATTTTGAATCTATTCTACATTGAGGTCGCGACACTCGATACTTGATCCAGTGACATCATTGTGAGAAAATAAACACCTTTACATTTTCTTCCTGATTTCTCAAGCTCTCTCTGAGCAATTGATTATTTTTTGAGGGTAGGAGGGGGGTAGGACAAAATACATGGAAAATTACTACAAGAAAGAACCCCTTAGTTATGTATAATTAAAATTCCGACCGTTCATAAATACCACTGTTCTTAGGTGTTTTTTTTCAATTTACAGGTTCCTGCTTCGGTCCCAGGGGCTAGGCCGGTTGCCCCTACCAGTAGTCTCTATCCCTCTCTTAATGACTACATGGGTCTTGCTGTTTCTGAGGATGCTGTCAGGCAACATGTGCCAGGATATGTAAGTAGAGTGAAATCATACAGTATGCTGGTTGACAAAGATTTCAATTACAGCTAGCTCAGGGTTTGGAGGAGAAGCCCACCTCCTGACCCATTCTTAGAAGGCAAAGGTTTCACCCATTTTTTAATCTCTGTCTCTCAACATTTTTGTGATGGGTAACCCTATCAGGACTTCAGGAGTTAAGCTGATATGGCCTTAAACCCCTTAAAGTGACTGGCTTCTAATTCCTCTTTACATTATCACACTTGAGTCAAGTACAAAGATGATAAGAATAAAGGAAATGATCACCAATTTTAGAAGATCCTGATTGTCAAACAAATTCTCCCTGTCATTACCTTGAGAAATGTAGAGAGATTAGTATGGAGAATATGAGTACACCAAATTACTTGACCACAGTAAAATAGTGACCCCACTCAAAGCTGGACTCATGATAAGACGCCCCTCTCCCCCCATAAATTTATTACTGACATAAAGAGAAGAAACAAGATTACATTTGTGTAATAAGTAAAGAGGAGTTACCCATAGTTTCTCATAGTAAAAGTTGAAAGGGGAGTTATTGTAGCATTAATTTTGTTTTGTTTTTGTATACAGAGCACAGCTGGTCCACTAGTTCCTAGACCACAAGCAGCTGTTGCTATTCCGCAGACCAGTGGGATGGTTGCCCCAGTAAGTGGAGACAACAATCTGGGCATCCGGCGTGCAGAAATCAAGCAAGGCATCCGTGAGGTGATTCTCTGCAAGGATGGAAGTGGAAAGGTTGGCCTACGTGTACGGGCTATCAACAAGGGTGTGTTTGTACAGTATGTACATGCAAACTCTCCTGCTTCCCTAGGGGGGTTAAGATTTGGCGATCAGATTTTGCAGATCGATGGTGAAACTTTGGCAGGCTATAGTGGTGACAAGGTGATGAAGATTTTGAAGAATGCATCTGCACAGAGAATTGTGTTTGCTCTTAGAGACAGGTGAGAAGTTCCCTATGATTTTGAAGCCTCCATTTTGCACTCTTCTTTACCCTCATGTGAAATAGAAAAAAACAATGTGATAAAATTGCTTGATGTCATTTTTCCTCAGGCCATTTGAGCGAACAATTGTTATGCAGAAGGATAGTAGTGGCCATGTTGGATTTGTGTTTAAAAATGGTAAAATCACTCAGATTGCCAAGGATACATCTGCAGCAAGGTAAACAACTTGAAATTAAAATTATGGAGCAGTAGTTTGCTACTTTCATGTACTGCAGTAGTCTTTCATTCTCAAATATTGACTTTCACAAATTTCTTCATGCTTTGGTCTTTTATCACAAGGACATTTAAAATATTTCAGTAGTAGGAAAAAGGTGTATTTTTGGAAACAGAGGCTTGTCTATAACTATTCGCAACAAAAAAAATTGCTCAAAAATTTATTAAGGGTTATTCTTTGAACTGATCATATTCTGGAGAAAATGTTTGGTTACAGGCAATTTGTATTGGGATGCAAGACCTTCTTTCATTCAGAGGTTGAGAATATTTTCATGAATTTGTACTATTCTTTGCTGCTGTATTTCTTAATGGAAACCCTGCATGTTGTTACATAGGAATGGACTATTGACAGAACATAACCTTGTTGAAGTAAATGGACAAAATGTGGTTGGACTTAAGGTAGGAAAAGTTTGTCTTCTAAAGATGCTTTCCTCTGCTAAAAGTGAGGGCACAAGGGTAGTGGCATTGCAACTGCAGTAGTTTAATGCAGATAGACTGTTGGTGCTTTTGTTGAGATATCTACCCTAGCAGGGACTGAAAGCTGGCAGGAGCAATTTCAAATTTTTTTGGAGTAATGCTTGTTCCTTTGTCTGAACTGTAGTAACTTTGCAAGAAACTCAAATATTGTTTCTAACACTTTTGTCTTATTTTTTAAAGAAAGTTTTTGCTTAGTTAGAAATTTTAACTTACATGTATGACCGACCACAGACAAGGATATATGTTGGGTAGACATTTAAAAAATGGAAACAAATAACCTCATTTCTATCTACATTGTACAATGAAAGCATGAATTTGTTTGAATCATCTGCAATTTTATTGTTGTCAAGCTTTGAAAAAAAAAGTGTAAGTTAGACCTAGTACAACACTTGCTATGCATATAGCTAACAACTACAACAAGTTTCACAAAATGCCCATTATGTGTTGAATAATTCTGTGGTAGTGCACATCCCTAAAATTGTGAGTTACAATTATTCTCTTTTCTTTATTTTACAGGATAGTGACATCAAAGCAATCCTTGAGAAGGCAGGTCAGACTATCACACTGACAATCATACCAACTTTCATTTTTGAGCATATGGTGAAATGGTAAGATTTGACTTTTTTGCACAATTTGACTTTTGTAGGGCAATTCTTAAAGTAAATGTTCCACAGACACAAGTACACAAGCCTTGAGAAAAAATTTTTTTCTGTAAATCCAATGAACAATATGTAAGGTCCACATCAATAGTTTTGAATACTGCATGTACTTTATTTCCAAAACAACAAAGAATGTGCAATGGAAATGATTGTTTGAGGCTGGAAAGTGTTTGTTACATTTGCAATCAACAGATGTTGCATGTGATCCTCGTGAAACTTAACATTGTTCCAACATTTATTATTGAATGAGAGCCTTTTAGTTGTTGTTTATTTTGGCTTCCCCCTTCCCCTACATCTGATTTTCCCTGACAAAATATACTCTCAGTCATGTTGTTATTAGAATTTTTTCAATTTGCTCTCCTTTTGGTTGAGCAATTGAAATCCTTGGGTGGTGTTTTTCCTGTGCTCCAGTGAAATTGCCCAATGCAATGTTGGATTTTGTGTGATGACATTTAACCCTTTCACTCCCGGTAAAGACCAAAACAGAGTTTCTCCTTACAATATCAGTACAATCTCAAGTAGACAAGCAATGAGAGTATAGAAAAATATCAATTAGAGATTATCATTTAAATCAATACCAAATTCTCCAAACTGAAATTATAAGCAATGTATGGCAGACAGTATGGAGAATTACTATTGAATTACTATTGGATTGTGGGAGTAAAAGGGTCAAAATAAGTGTTCCACAGGCTCCACTGCATGGACAAGATAGTAACACTTACAAATCATTTATTTTCATTTCCACAGTATGGGCGAAGGACTGATGAAGAAAACCATGGACCACAGTATTCCTGACTTGTAAGAAACTTGCACCACATTCCATGAAGGCCTTAAAGCATCTACAAAGTATATAGAGTGGATATGTTGGGTATTAGTTTTAAGTTAGCTGCAGATTAAAAATTTTAAAAAATTTAAAAAAAAAAAGAGAGAAAATCTTGTAATGATAGATATTCTTTCATTTGATTGTTACTATTAAAAGTAAAACTGGTTAGAAAAGAGCAAGATTCTTAGTGCAGCAGTTACCATATCTCAAGTGCTAGTGTCATGTGTTGATACACTTGAAGATCTTTGTTTTCATAATTGTTTACATAATATTTTCTCTTCCCTGCCGATCAGTTTGTGGAAATTGATGAAAAACAGTGGCAAGCAAGATGGGAGAAAAAAGGGGGGGATTGAAAATCCTGCTTAATTTATCTTGCTAGTTCATTTATTTGTCTCCACTGTCAGTATGTCTCGCACAAACTTAGTGTTTTTTTTTTTTTTTTTTTTTTTTTTTTTGTTTTTTTTTTTTTTTAAGTAGATAGCAGAGTTGCATATCAAAGGATCTTACAAATTTACTTAAACATGTAAGCTCCTTGGAACTCTTTTTGTACAACAGAAATAATAAGAAAAGAAGTTTTGATTGTGTTCCTCTGGTTGGTAATTCAAGATAGCTTGAGCTCTTGATGTTGCCAGAAGTGTTTTAATTAAAAGTATTTGTTATGTCTTTATAACAGTTATTGTCCAATAGTAATTTTGCAAGTCGGTGGTTTCATTCCTATAGAATGTAAATAAAGGTGAACCACAGTAATCATGTGATTTGAATTTTGTTGCATATTTTTATACTGTGAATACTTGATTTTGCAGTTATAGTATTTACCCCACCCCTCTTTATTTCACTTTTTTTCCCTCACAAATTTTTGTCAATTAGTGCACTGACAGCTGAAAAACTGAAGGGATGGGTAGGTGGAGTAATATTTGCATTTATAGAATTACTCACTTGAATACCTTGTGTCCCACCCCCTTTTTATTTCACTTTTTAATACACAAAGTTTTTTCAATTTATGTGCCAACTGCAGAAAAACTGAAGGGATGGGTAGGTGGAGTAATATTTGCATTTACAGAATTACTCACATGAATACCTTATGTGTCCCACCCCATTTTTATTTCACTTTTTAATACACAAAGTTTTTTCAATTTATGTGCCAACTGCAGAAAAACTGAAGGGATGGGTAGGTGGAGGGATGACTGCATTTATGGAATTACTCACGCACACACTTAACTTATCCCCCACCCTCTTGATTTTGCTTTTTCCACTCCCCAAATCTTTGTCAAATGGTTTGTTGACAGTAAAAATACCAAAGGGACGGGAAGGTGGGGAAATAATAGCATCTGCATCATCACTGACTTACTTAAGTGAATACTTGACTCAGTGGTCCCCCCAACCTCCACCTTGTTGATTTCACTTTTCTCTAACCCACAAATTCTTGTCAATTAGTGCTCGGAGAGTAAAAGAATTGAAGGGAGGGTATGTGGTGAGATAATTAGCTTCGTAGTTGCTGACTTATTGACATGAACACTTGACTCAGCGATCTTCTGGTACCCCCCCCCCACTATCTTGATTTCATTTTATTCACAAATACTTGTCAATTGGTGCGCGGAGAGCAAAAGAACTGAAGGGATGGGTAGGTTGCGGGGTTACTGACGTGAATACTTGAATCAGTGGCCTTCTAGTACCTCCACCCCCAACCTATTGATTTCACTTTTCTCTATTCGACAAATTCTTATCAAGTGGTCCGCAGAGAGCGAAAAAAGAAGGGACGAGTAGGTGGTAAGATAATTAGCTTCGTAGTTGCTGACTTACTGACATGAAGACTTGACTCAGCGGTTTTCGGGTATCCCCACCCCACACTGCTCTCTTGATTTTTCTCTTCCATCCTCCACAAATTCTTGTCAATTAGTGCGCGGAGAACAAAAAAACTGAAGGGATGGGTAGGTAGGGAAACACCCTCAATCGATCAAACTATACTATTTCAATTACCTTATTACTAGCATCCCTTCTCCAATCCTTTTTTCATTGAATTAATTTCTATTTCTTTCTCATCGTGTGATAACACTTTCATTCTGTCATAAAAACATTCGAGCTTCCTTTAAATGCCCGTTAATCCAATTTATGAAAATTTATTGCAATATTTTGCCCTATTTAAACTTTTCTCTGGTGGTCTATTGTTAAGGTACACATTGCTCTTGGCACTTGAACCTCAGTTTCCGCATAAATTGGCATCTAAGAGTGAAATTTAGTGGAAGCCACCCCTGGACTGAGCTACATGTAACTCTTTACTTGTGAGTACCAGAGGCTAGTATCAAAGTTACATAATTACTCCAACTGAGTGAACGTTTTCAACAAAGTTTGCGGGAGAAAAATAGTACCTCGTACTTTGGCGCAAGGCTGAATTTAGCAGAGGTAATTTGACGACAACAGCATGGTTTTATGCGAGATATTTTTCGTAGGAACCTTGGCGGCCTTCACGTTACTTCAGGTCTATCTGTACAAGAAATTCTGCGTTGGATCTGACCGTACTCTCGGGAACAGCGAGACCACATACCGTGTTCCTGGAGGATACTACTTGGTGAAATTTTATCCGGAGCAAAAGATGTATTAGAGAAGAAAAACGTCGAGTGCTTGTGTTTGCATGAAACTGAAAGGAACTGAACCTGTTGCTTCCTCTGAATCTCAGGAACTTGAAACTAAACAATTGTAAATTTTACTATGGTGTGTTTTAGAAATAGAGTATATTTCGCTGGGTTTTAAGTAAGGGAACCTTTCACATGAGACACTTAGCATAGAGATGGGTTGTAGCCAAACTGGAGTGATTTGCCAAAATCGTCTTTAAGAAACATGTTTTTTTCTAGAAACGGGAGTGAAGTGTTTTACATAATCTTGGTTCGTACCCAAGGGCAGTATCTAATGTAAATAAGCCCCTCTATCAGTAACAATATTATTGCACAGTATGTTTAGAGTTTGAAGAGGTGCTGGTTGTTTAAAATAAACATATTGCATAATTGAAGTCGGAGAGACGTAATTTATCTGCTGTATTATACGGAATTAATCATAATTTTTGCTTCCAAATTCTGTTTGTAAAATTGGATTTTCCTTATTTACTTGTACTGCACACCATTAATGCGCGGGAGAATAAAAAGAAAATGATAACACCATGTCACGAATATATTGTTTATTAAAATTGTCACAGCATTTACATCTTGCAAATTTTAAAAAATTGAATTACATTTACTTGCACGAAAAAGAGATTTCTTTATCTTTTTGGAAGTGAAAACGATTGAATTAATTAGAGATAAAGAACCGTCCAACTGGCAAGGTCATTTTTTCATTTTTTTTTTATTTCTGAAGGAATTTCAAATGTTATGAGATTTACTTGCATGAACGTTAGATAATTATTGATAGTTTTACGCTGAACACACCCTTTGCCACCTGTTAATCAACAAAATTTTTTTTCTCTCTCTGGCAACAATTGAAATTAAAATAAGGTCTATCCTAAGTCTTAAGGCCTTTTTTCTCTCTCTCAAGAAACCATCGACATCTTTGTTTCGTTTCAGAAAATCCTGAAAATTAGAATTCCCTAAAATCCCTCATCATTATACATGCATGTCGCAATTTGAAGTGATAAATTGTTATAGAAATAGAACTGCACTCGTCAATTCGTTTTATTTATCTCGATGCGACCTGAGTTGATATACATGTTGGATCGACACCACAATAAAATCAGCAAGCTGAATAATTCTATGCCGCTAAATTCTCGATCGAGTCGAGTCCTTTGTGAGCCGTAAAGAAAGCTTTTAGCCACTTCAGAATTCAATTATTGATGATTTGTCGAGTGTGACGCACATTTGACACCAGAATTGACGCGGAATGAAAGGGCTAGGAAGATGACAACCAGCCTTGAAAATAAACATTGGAAAACAAAACAATATCGCTTAGTATGAGTGGGACAGAGCAAAGTTAAGTGATGACCGGAACATTGACGATCTTTCTCGCTGCAGTAGCAGTTGGTTTAATTGGAGCATTGGCACTTTTGCAAGCTTATTTCATCGGGCAGTGTTTTCTAGCTGGACAGCCGCAGGAGAATGGATATATAAACGATTGCCTTTAGACGAAAACCTGACGATTTTGCCACCTCGTTTTCAACCTATTTGGACTCAGCCTTTAGAAGTTGCAAGGTGCTCTATGTTGTGCAAGAAAATTTTGGATCTTCAAACTATCACATTAGGAAGAAAATCGCCGTTTATACTTTATTTCAACGGCTCTGAGATGAACAGGGGACTCGCAGTTCATTAAACTATTGGTTCATTTGATTTTAAAGACAAGGCAGAAACAATAATACGAAGTTAGAATTCGTCAGATTTAGGGCAATTCCAACAAAGGAACAGAAACCAAGCCAAGAATCTTAATATTTTGTTGTTCTTCGTACTGACACATTTTCTACGGGAAATATCTCTCTTGGTCTATAGAAACACGTAGAATGCAACTTTCTTTTCTCGATCAGTTTCTTCTGAATTATTTTATTTTCTACTTTCAACTTTTGGCTTTTATTAAGACGCTTTGTAATGTATTTTATCATACAAGGATTAGTATTTGTAGCATCAGTTAAAAAGCTATGTAAACTTTGATCGGCGAGTAAACATTGCTAATTAATTCTTCGCGTCGAATGCCTGTTACGGAACACTTTGCTATTAACGCTGCCTGTTCCGGCGCTTTGCCGTCTGTTTCTGGTTTCATCAAACAAAAATATTATTAGCATGCTCATCGTGGACTTGAGATGATAGATTACTCTTGCAATCGACTGAATGAAAAATCCCTTAATTCGCTTCCTTGCAGCATTATTGCTAGCCTTATCTTCAAGGATCTGACCCCGAATGATACCGGTCAACAACTGGGAAACTGCAGTATATTCTCCATATTAAAGAAAACAAACATGATCCCGTGACAAATAAGTTCATTTTTTTCATATTTTCTCTGCTATTTCA